AAAAAATCCTCATGTTATGGGTCGAACAATTTTCCGACAATTTTTTTTTAATGTTTGAGGTGATATTGTCAATGACTAAGGTTTTTGTGTTATCAGACTAAATGACGATTGAATGCTCTGAAACGAAAGATTATCGAAATAATGATTTTTCCAAATGAATCGGCCACAATCGTTACAATTTTTACTAGTGGTGTAAGAATGAAAATCTTGGTGTATTAGATTGAAGTAAACGCAATGGAGAAACTATGTTAACGCATTGAAGACAGCACGGATTTGGTGAAAACATCTTCAATACGCAGAGTGAAAGCTTGTGAGAATGATAGCACCGGTGATACCTTCTTTAGCCAGGTCCGGACTCTAATTTAAAAAGTTAGTTTTTCATTTTTCTTATTTTTTAATTTTCTATAAAATTACATTACATTACATTTTTAATTCCATGTTGTGTGAAGTGGAAACTCCAACTTAAAATTTTATTAATTTTTTGAAAAAAATATAGGGAAATAGTAGAGAACATCCAGTTCCATATATATAGAACTTACTTTCATATTATTTATTACCACAGAAATTTACCAAATATTTTAATCTTTTAGAAAATTTTTACCACTGTTAAAATATGGATTCACATTTTTCAGTACCAATACATTGAAATTATGGTTACCACAAATTTTCCAAAGTATACATGAATACCAGGCAGAACACAATGGAATGACTACTCAATTGTGTACAATGTTAGACTCTGAAAACAATAACAAATTCTTCGCATACAACAGTACCTGAATGCAATGTGGTAGGTTTACAAGTACAACTTTGCAGCTTGGCACATTATGGCGTGTTTATAAAAATTTGGTTTGGGTGTTATTTTAAATTAACTGAAAACTGCATAAACTTTGCAACTTACAGTTCTTCGATATTTAGTCTCAATTATTTGAATTTCATGAAAACTAAATAATCTGCAAATTTTCAGAACACAGAAAATAATTTATCTGTGTATATAAATTCAATAATAATAGCAATAGTTGGGATGGTTGGATATACACTAGCTGGAACATTGATGAATATAATTCCAAAGAAGATGTTGTTATGTAAGAGCCATCATAATTTTCATTTAAAATTGTAATTTAATAAATTAATTTCAGGTGTATTGGGAGTCGTTTCTGGAATTACAATTCTAACAACATATTTATCACAAAATACTATTACCACCTTAACTTTAACATCTCTTCATTTGGCCACGACTGGAATTTCATTCGACGTAGTAATGACAATAATTGTTGTAATTTTTCCAACAACTTTAAGGTAAGATGCTTTCAGTATTTATCAACAAAAATATTTACATCTACTCAACTTTTAGAGCGACAGTAATTTCAATTGTACTTATGATTGGAAGAATGGGCGCAATACTAGGAAATGTGTTATTCCCCGTATTACTTCAAACAGGATGTGCTATACCATTTTTTATATTAGGTGGTATCGCTTTAGGTAAGGATTATTATACTTGCATCAACGAGATCAAACCTTAAAAAACATGTTTTTTTTTTCAGCTGGAACATTTTCTTTTTGGCTACTGCCTATTACTGACAACAATAGTTTAAAATAATTATTATACTGTAATGTACTTGAATAATTATATTATATTATGTCTGCATATCTCTTACTTTACTGATGGACCTTTAAAACTAGTTTTTTGATATTTATTTCGATTTCTTTTATATTCAATGTGAAGTTAATAGTAGTATTTTCCTCCCTATCAATATTTTATTTTGCATGTTGATTATTGTACATTCTTACAAAATAATCACTAAACAATTGCACTATTTCCTACTTAAAATATGTCTATTTTCAGTTTTATAATTTCAATATATTACACATATAGGGTGGGCTCTTGAAAACGAAACAGAGTGAATAACTCTCAGGAAAATTATTTTTCCGAGAAACGCCGAGAAAAGTCGATTTTTGATAGACATAAATTTCTTGTTACAAAGTCTACCCCCTAGGGAGGGAGGAGGGAATTGTATTCTAATTCTCTTCAACCGTGTTTTATTTTTTGAATTTCGGAGATACAAGTTGTTAATAAAAAAAAAACTACTTTTTACAAATTTGTTTGTAAATTACTACATATCAGCCAATTAAGTGTTCAAACTGATGACGTCCAACCTCCATAAAGTAATATAAGTTTTGTAAAAAGCGTTAACGTACATTTTGCAGCATTTCTGTTGTAACTTGGAAGCACTCGTTGAGAATGCGTTGGCGTAGATCTTAAAGGAAGTAGGTGGAGTGAATTAAATTTTGAACTTTAAGTGAGTCCATAAGAAAAAGTCCAAAGGAGGTGCAGGTCATTCTATGACACCTTTTCTCCCAGTCCACTGATTCGTAAACCTACGATCAAAATACTGTCGAACAGACAGGGCGTGTGTGGGGTGAGCTCCATCCTGTTCGAATACCTACCAACTGGTCTTGGAGATAATACATCTCAATAAAATGCATTACATTTTTTGTTTGCAATTAATGATTTCATTATTTCTAAATGTTTTGTGTCTATATATAAATTTGTCCTATTGGTATGTATTAATTCTATTAGCAATGAGGCGATTGGAAAAAGCAATAGTAAATAAAATGTAGAAATAGTAAGAGCTTTCTATCGTGGTATTTTTACATGTTGTTCTTTGACAAGGGTGATCTTAGAACAGCAAGAATACAAGATATTTGTTTGAAAGATTACATTATTTCACAGTTCTAATGTGCCAGGTTTGTGTTTTTATATTAATAATGTTTATGCATATCATTATCAATTTTTTACACAAACATGTAGTTTCTTCTTATTTAACTTTATTTCATTTTAAAAGCAAAAGTCAATTTTTTAATACCTGCTAGTAATAAATAATTATGAATTTTAATGATGATGAAATATACTTTACCTAAAACAACGCGGAGCCAGTTAAAATGAAACTTTGAACTGGAGCAACTAAAAAAAGTATATTTTATTATTATACATATAATTCAAAAGCTTCTTTTTATTTCATTCTTGATAAGGCTGTTACCAAGCCCAGTTTATTCTTGATATCAGTAATTTCGTCAGTTAAGGTCGAAAATCACACGATCGCTTTATATCAGAGACTGAGTTCAGATAAAATCGTTCGTTGTGATTTATACAGGGTGTCGAAAAAGAGTGTAATAAACTTAGACGGCTATAGTAATACTCGTCAAAATAAAAGAAAACATTTATATGATGAGATCCTCCAAAATAAGTTACACTTATCCCTATGTAAATTCATCTCTATTTTGCATAATCCGTCACATATACACAGGGCTATAGCAACAGCTGATAAAACCTATGTATCTATACGTTTTTGAGTCGCCAAATCCGAATCCGGTATCCGTTTGACTCGATCAAATCTAAGTTCAGTTCAAGGTCAAATGTAGAGAATCAATTGCCAACAAAATAAATCTACATATCTATAAGTTTTTGGGGTTGCCGAATCCGAATCTGATCTGGTTGAGGTCAGTTCAAGGTCAAATGTGCAGAATCAATTAAAAACAAGGTAAACCTACATATCTATACGTTTTGGGGGTCGTTAAATCCGAATCTGATGTCCGTTTGAAGCGATCAGGTCTGTTAAATACTTTCGAATAGAAAAAGATCAATCAACATACGAAAGATACTTATACAAATATTTTGGTTTTAAACCTAAGTGAAAAATTTGATTGGGTTTGAGCAGAGAGAAAGGTTTCACCAAGATATTAAAGAAGGGATAAATTTGGGTGGCAATGAAACTATCACTGATATTGTTAGTGATACTAGTAATGACGAATATATTACGTATCACGTTGTGAAAAAGACAATATCATGGCCAAAAAAATATTAAGCAAGCCGTAAAAGTGAAAGCTTTTTACATCAGTACAGAAATAAGGAATATTTTTTTAACGATGAAGAATTTTCCTTAGGTTATTACAATGATATTGTTGGATGAATCACTTCAATCATGGATGTTATAAACCTAACGCACATTGAAACAAGAGTGCCATAACTTGAGGGTAGTCTTACATAGGATCAAATACGAACAACATAAATGGCTTTACATTTGACCTTGAACTGACCTTAAACCAGAGCTAATCGTGTCAAACGGACACCGGATTCGGATTCAGCGACCCCAAAACCATATGAATACTATGTTCTTGTCTTTCGGACCTGCAACTTTTCTTTTTGTGGGGCTGTGTAATCGCTAAAATTAATAACTCTGACTAATAATAACGATAACTACAACGGCAACTTTTAGAAACATTTCTTCGCGTTCGTGACTACTTATCCTTAAATGCAAGACAAAATTCGGTATTTGACGTAGAAGCGACAAGAAAATATTTCTAGCTTTCAAAAACTTTGATATGAAATCCATCAGCCAAAATTTTCTTTAAAAAAATAGTTTTTATAGTAAAACAAATAAATATGTAATATGTAAGAAATACAAGCACTCGTTGTTTACATAATATGGCATCTGCGTTTGTTAAAATACATAATTACTTGCAAAATATCAAACTGCAACTTGTTAAAAATCTTGTAATAATACCCAGCTGAATGATAACTATTAACTTTAAATACAGTTGCATTAAATAGTTTTCTTTGTATTTTAGACACAATGTACAAAAAAATAGATATGTTCAATTAATTCTTTAGCAATTTACTTAATATTGAATAGAGGTTATTTACATTAAAATATACGCAAACATCACCTATTTACACCTAAAATCCAGGTTTTCTAAATAATATAAGTAACAATGAAATATTTAGCTAGAACATACAAAAGGAAAAAATATGTACATGAGAATTTTCTTAGTTATTTTATCTTAAATTGTCAATTTTATTTTAAAGCACCCCTTTGTTTAAAGACGAAATTTATTAACACTGTCGGGATTTAATCACGTCATGGTAAAATTCTAAGTAAATAAATTATTTTATATTTTATGTTTTAACATTATATTAAACCAGTTTATATTCAACGGCCAGACAAAATGACAAAAAAATTTTTTATAAAGAAATTATTTTCAAGTTCTGAAAAGACGAAAAACTGTGAGTCTGGAAATGAAGGTAAGAACTTGATATAAGTATCATTACATGCTAAATTCATACTTACTTAAATTTTCAAATATGTCAAACGGTTCACTTGACTTTTATCAACAGTATTGAATAGAGGCATATATTTCTACATCTGAATTCGTAGAAACACAAGCTTTAATGTGTGTGTGAAATTAGCTCGACATTTTTTGAGAACATTAAAAAAAAAAGGTTATGCCGGGGTCTCCCAGAAAACGAACAAGAACCAAAATGATCTAGTTCGCTTCACGAGTTTCAGACAGTTTTAAACAATGCGCCGTTAAGAAAAATCTATTTTTTTTTCCTACTTTGATCAATTTATACAATCTTCTGTACTCCTTTAATACGGACAGTTGATAGATTAGAGGATGATTATTTCTAAAATAGTTTATGTACCATGTAACATCTTACTGATACTACAAAAAACTTTGATGTAGATAATCTACTATTATTTATTTACTTTGTACCGTTTTTCTAAAGTGTAGTGTAACAATTTTAGGAATTTATTTTTTAGAAAAGATATCTGCATCTTTGCAAAAAAATAAGGATAACGCTGAATTATTAATATTATTATTAGTATCAGTTATAAAGTAAATTTTTTAATTATTAAACGATAGATAACTAAAGCATTTACTAATAATTAATATACTTAGAATACCTACCAACTAAATATTTTCATATCTTATTTCATATTTTAGTCACAGAGGGTCCTGCAGAATTTGAAACGGCCGTTTCTGCGTTGGGATTTGGAAAATTTAATATCTTGATGTTTCTTGTTTTGATTCCTTCGCAATGGGCAATGATTTTTGACACAACTCTAATGTCTTATATATCTCCAGTAGCGCAATGTGATCTAGATCTAAGTCTTAATAATAAAGGAACCATAAACGCCGTAGCACCATTTGGTAAGTGTAAATATTTTATTTATGTTTAAGGATGTTCCAAATACTACTAGTTCCATAAAAATTAAGTTTTGTTAAGTTATTAATTTTATACATAGGTCATCAGTCATCACACGAAAATATTGTACCTACTTATTTGAATATATAGAAAAACTCCTTCATTGATAAATTTTTCACAAGGAATATAATTTTCTTTCAGAAAATTAATTAAGCAATGTAATCCAGAGACGCAGATATCTTATGGGATACTATACTTTTACATATTCTAATAGAGCGCTTTGTGAACATTACAATTGCAATATAAACTTTGACGAAACATTCACTAATGAGAAACAATATAACTCCAAATATATAAAGTGGAAAGCTTGTTAGAAATAGATTAAAACTGCTCTATAGGTACCTAATCAGTATATCAAATTAAATCATTTTCCAAAACTACATTTATGGAACATTCTTCTCGTTACTTATAAGTAGTTTCTTATTGTTAAGTCTGACTAATCAAACTTTATATTACTCTATTCAGAAAATGTTTTATAATCACAAATTTTTCGTTGATAAAAAAATAATTGAATTCTAGAGAAAAATTATTTAATAAATAATGTTTTATTCATTTGATGTCTTGAAAGGCACAAAAGATATAAACGAGTCTCACTTTCTTTTCTTTTTAGGTGCTATAGTAGGTGGAGTATTTTGGGGGATCCTGATAGACACCCTGGGTAGAAAAAAATTAATCATGTACGGATTCTTTATAGAAGGAATTATTACCATAGTAACCAGTTTAACCCAAAACTTTGCATTTCTGTTAATTTCGAAATTAATTTCAGGAGCAATGTAAATAATAACATATTTATTATTATAATTTTTTAATTTGGTTTCGTTGATTTTAGGACTGGTGGTTTATATATTGCCCAGTGTACTTACTATGCCGAATTTCACTCAATGGAACACAGAGGAAAAATGCAATTGTCAATGGGATTTATAGCCGGTGCGGGACAAGTTGCCATGCCTGTACTTTCATCCTTCTTTTTACCCTTAGACTTCACTGTTACTCCTTTTAATGGATACATAAGTAAGAAAATAAGACATAAAAATAACACAGCCCCACAAAAAAAGTGGTATATCCGAAAGACAAGACCCTGGTATTTATATGTTTTTGGGGTCGCTGAATCCGAATCCGTTGTCCGTTTGACTCAATTAACTCTGGATGAAGGTCACTTCAAAATCAAATGTAGTGTGTTTGATCCGATCAGGTCTGCGTTAAGCTCAGTTCAAGATCAAATTAATGAATGATGACCTTGAACTGACCTTAACCCTGAGCTAATCGGGTCAAACGGATATCGGATTCCGATTCAGCGACCTCAAAAACATATAGATACCAGGGTCTTGTCTTTCGGATATTCCACTTTTTTTTGTAGGGTTGGTTCTATAATTAACGTTTTTTCTTTGTATAAGGTTTGCATCGATATTAAATTTTATCAGAAAAAAATATTACACTACTAGAAAATTTATTACTTATAAGCCAATGACTGTACCAAAAAATTTAATAAACAGTTAAAAATATGCTTTTGCATTCCAGTTTAAGAAAGGAAAATACCAAATACGTTTGTTTCTAGAATTCCATTCTTGGAATCTATTAATCCTAATCTCGTCAATCCTGTCCTTTACTGCTGGAACAGTATTCATATTTTTACCAGAAAGTCCAAAATATTTGATGACCAAAGGAAATAATGAAGAAGCCTTAACTGTATTTAGAAAGGTCTACAGAATTAATAAAGGTCAACCTGAGGATTCTTATCCCGTAAGTATTATTTTTATTTTATAATATAAACATAACACAATAAATACAAAATTATAGATTAAAAAACTTATTAATGAGACAATAGAAAGTAAGTACACAGGGAATGGAAGAAAAGCTATTGTTATAAATTATATAAAAAATGGTTGGCACCAAGTGGCACCCTTACTTAATAAGATTTATTTTCCAAAATTACTTCTGGTAACTACTATAGAACTTATAATAATTACTAAGTAAGTATTTTAAAAGAATAATTATCCAGTTTTTATTTGAGGTTTAAGTATCAATTGGAATTATCTCGTACTGTTCCAATATCATTTACAACTCTTGAACTTTCTCTTAAACTTTAAATGTTGATGATTATTTATGATAACAATTTTTCAATTGTACTCGTATTAACATGGCATATCAAATTAATGTAATTACAGTGTCTCATTGCTCTAATTTTATCTTTTGTTGCTAGCTAAAATTCTGTTTAGTATGTATGTACACTGGACTAAAATCATTTAAATATTTACCATTCAAATTTATGTGTTAATTACAGAGGGTATTTCTTTCCGTTTTAACTTGACTCAACAATGTAAGAAAATAGTTTAAATAACATATTTTCAAAATTTCTAAAATACCGGGGAAAGCCATTAGAAATAATTTTAAATCTTTCCTGTGAAAAATCTTATAATATTCAATTCTTATACTGAAGTTTCCTTTTTGTCTTACACTGATGACTTACTCACATATGACATGACATTCCAATGTCTTACTCACATATGATATCTCAAAAGAGTAGGTAGTAGTGATTTTGGTTTTAAACATTACACTACACAATTTGGATATTTAAAATGACCCTTATTTGTATATAGTAATGAATTGATCTAGTATACAGGGACCATCATCAAAATGCCGCCAAAGCATTACGATTGTATGCCGAACGAGTCAAAAAAATAGAACACTCACAAGATATGATGAAAGATCTAGGCCACCTAGAATCTTGCAGGTCCAAGATATTTTACACACAGACATACCTATTGCAAAAGACATCACATACTAAATTTTGGTAACATTACATGAAAATCAACTTTATCCACGTCACATGTAAAGTTCAAGATTTAATGCCTCAAGACTATCCTAAAATAATAGTTTCTTTAATGGCTTTTACAACAAAATGGGCATGATGCAAATTTCACCTTTTATTGTAGTAACGAATGAAGCAAATTTCGACTTGAATGGAATAAATATTTTAAAACAGACAAACATAGAAGATCCCCAATTTACAGGTCTAACAATTTTTCAACAAATTTTGTTTAATGTTTGGGCTGATATTGTTAATAAATATTATTGTTAATATATTATATTATATTTTATACTAAAAGACCGATTGGCAAATAACCGGCTTAGACTATATTTTTTTGCCAAATAACTGAACTACTTGAAGATGTCTTGAAATGAAAGACTAATCTCATTTTAGACGTGAAGTGCAAGATTATCTAAATACAATATCATGGTTTCCAATATCACCAGATTGGAACAGTGATAACTTGAACTACCTTCTTTAGGCAAGCCTGGACTTTTTTTATTTTCCCAATTTTTTCATTTTCGATAAATTGCAATTTGAAAAATGTTCTTACTTTCTTGAGTTCTATGTTGTATTAAAATGGAAAATCAAATTTAAAAAACACCCTGTATAATAAACAACAATTTAGTTTCAACTTTAGGTCTTGGGCATAACTGATTAATTTTTTGTAGGAATTAGGAATCTGAAAAAAAATAGAAACTTAAATAGATCAAATGGTAATCCTATCGTTAATGCCAAGTTCTATGTATAAATTCAGGGTGTCCCGATATTTGAAACAAAAAAGTCGAGTACAAAGATGAGATCAAAATAATGTCAGTTCTTCATATAAATTTTTTTCATACGGGCTTTCGTTAACATGTTAGGGGTCCTCAAATGTGAAAATTAAAACGTTATTTTTATTTACAGTCTCTAAACTGTTAACTTTAGCATGATGGAAATTTAGTGACCAATAACACATGCTTACAGTTTACTTTTGATGTTGTGAGTGAATCTTCATTATGCCCAGAACGCCAGGGACGGACTATGCCCAATGGTTAACAACCCAGAATTTTTGCATAGATGACAATCGCAATCTGCCTGAAGAATTTGCCAATGACATTACCCTCTTGGTTCAACTCGGTAAAAATGACAGTTTACGAAATATTTATGATTTTATGTCACAGTGCACATCGAATGGCGCCTCCACCATTTTTTGTTTTTAATTTTTAATTGGACATAATTACTATGTTAAAACCGTACATATTTTTAAAATAACAGCCTAGAAAATCTTACTGTCTGTTAATGTAATTTCTACTAACAAAATTTGACAAACACACTTTACACAAACACAAAATAGAAAAACAAAACAAGAATAAGTTAAAGTTAATTAAGTATTCAACTCCAAATATCGATGTTCATTCAGACGTTTCTCAAAAACGTATAGACCGATTAAATTATTACCCACTATTAATGTATGGACAGGAATAGTGGGTAATAATTTAATATACGTTTTTGAGGAACGTGTGAATGGACATCGATATTTGGAGTTTTTGACAAATAATTTGCAGCCAGTATTAGACGATGTTCCATTAGACATGTTTGGTTCAAACACGATAGAGCTCCTCCCCATTTCAATACTGATATGAAATTATTGATCTATTATGCTTAATAAATAATAAATGGATTGGAGAAAAGGCCCAATTTCATGGCCACCAGGTTCTTCAGACTTTAACCCGATGGACATCCTGTGGGGATACCTGAAAAGTTTAGTGTACTCAACCCAGTACAGACAAGGGATGAACAGCTACAAAGAATTAATTTCGTGTACAAATAACATCCGTAGACTTAGGAAGTGTGTGGAGGTGGAAGATGCCCATATTGAAAATGTGTTTTGATAGTTTTCTTTCTTTTAAATTATATTGTTAACTTCCTTTATCTTATCCTTGTTTTTTATATTTTGTGTTATGTGTAAAGTGGGTTTGTCAAATTTTATTAGTGAAAATTACATTAGCAGGTAGTAGGCTCTTAAAAATACATTCGGTTCAAATATAGTAACTATTTCCATTTAAAAATTAAAAACAAAAAATGACGGAGGCGCCACTCGATGTGCACTGTGACATAAAATCACAAATATTTCCTAAACTGTTAATTTTACCGAGTTGAACCAAGAGGATATTTTCGTTGGCAAATTCTTCAGGGAACTTATTTTTGATGGAGGCAGACTTGATCGTCATCTATGCAAAAATTCTGGGTTGTTAACCATTGGGCATAGTCCGTCCCTGGCGTTCTGGGCATAATAAAGTTTCACTTACAACATTAAAAACAAGCTGTACGCATGTGTTATTGTTCACCAAATTTGCATTATGCTGAAGTTTAGACACTAAATAAAAATAACTTTTTAATTTTCACTTTTGAAGGTTCGTAACTTGTTAACGAAGGCCCGTATGAAAAAAATTTATATGAAGAACTGATATTATTTTAACCTCATCTATTTGTACTCGACTTTTTTGTACCAAGTACCGGAACACCCTGTATAAAACTTTTTTCATATTATATATCATTACCACACAAAATTACCAAATATTTTAATCTTGGTTGATTATCAACTACTGAAATATGTAAATATTCATATTTTTCAGCATTAATACATTGCGATTATGGTTGCCACAAATTTTCCAAAGTATACATGAATATCAGGCAGATCACAATGGAATGACTGCTCAATTGTGTACAATGTTAGAGACTCTCAAAACAGTAACAAATTCTTCACAAGCAGCAGTACCTGAGTGCAATGTGGTAGGTTATTATCCCTTAAATTGAAATAAAATTGCATATTTTCAATAAAGCTTTAATTTTGTATCTGAAAATTAAGCATATTCTGACACATGTAGATACTTAAAACTTTTTTGTTCTCCTTCATCATTTTAGTTACACGTAGGGTCAAATTTCCTGTCTGAAATATTGTGGTATAGTCTGTTTATTAATATTTGGTTTGGGCTTGGGCATTATTTTAAATTAAACTGAAAGCTGCATAAAATGTGGGCTTATAACTCTACAATATTTAGACGCAATTATTTGAATTTTATTAAAACTGTATAATCTGCAACTTTTCAGAACACAGAAAATAACTTATCTGTGTATATAAATTCAATAGTAATTGCAATAGTTGGCATGGTTGGATATGCACTGGCTGGAACATTCATGAATATGATCCCAAAGAAGAAATTATTATGTAAGAACTATCATAATCCTCATTTAAAAATTATGATTTACTAAATTAATTTCAGGTGTATTGGGAGTCGTTTCTGGAATTACAATTCTAACAACATATTTGTCACAAAATACTATTACCACATTAACTTTAACATCTCTTCATTTGGCTACAACTGGAATTTCCTTTGACGTTGTAATGACAATAATTGTTGTAATTTTTCCAACTACTTTAAGGTACATTGCCTTCAATGTTTATCTACAAAAATATTTACTATTCTCTATTCAACTTTTAGAGCGACAGCAATTTCAATTGTACTTATGATTGGAAGAACAGGAGCAATACTAGGAAATGTATTATTTCCTGTATTACTTCAGACGGGATGTGCTATACCGTTTTTCACATTAGGTGGTATCGCTTTTGGTAAGTGTTATTATATCTGTATATACGGCATTAGATCTTAGAAAAATTGTTTTTTTTCTTTTTTCAGCTGGAACATTTGCTTGTTGGCTACTCCCTGTCACTGACAACAACAGTTTAAAATAATTATTATACTGTAACATATTTTAACTAATTATATATATTATATATATTTTTACATATATTGGTATATATTTTTTTTTTCAAAACTGTCTGAAGGATATTTATTTATTTATTCATTTATGTAACCAACAGGTATAGTCTTTCCGAAGTCAGTTGAACATGTATCAAACCGCCTAGCAATAAAATTTAATGAGTTTCATAGGTGTCCCTAAAAAAGTTGTTTGGTAAAGTTAAAAATTTATAATAAATTGTATATAATGTGAAGAAAATTTCTATTATGTTCATGTGACCAATATATTTCAATGATTTATGTCCTCAAACAATTTTATTATTATTATTATTAAACAAAATTTCCCTCTTATGTTTCCTTTTCGCAATTGCAATATGAAAGACCAATATAATATATATAATAAATTAGAATTACCTGAATCACAACAAATTCCGCATTGCTGCACTGCACTGACTTTATGGCCAGGTCGCCCAGTGCGGCTGTATTTGTGCCGCCTTTGGCCACGCGCTCATTCTTCAATTGGGCGATCAGACCTGTATATACGTATATCTAAATAAATATGGTAAGTTTTTCAAATATTTCAATGGAGAGTTGCTACACCACCGACCGAACCTGGTATGTACATACTGCCAATAACCTCTTGGCTCTATCAATTGAGATAGGAAAGACTACACCAGACCCAATTACATATTAATGCTACGTTACACACGTTTAAATAGTAATAGTTAGCTATAGCAAACCCTACTATAATTACTTGACAACTAAATTAATAACTCAGAATTTAATTTGTTGAAATAATTGTTATTAGCTATTCTTTTTATGTTAATGCTTTATACATATATATTTGTCAAGTAAATATTGTAGATTTAACAATAATTTTCAGGCATTTCCAATGCCTTCTACATTTTTTTACTGGAAACACAAATTCAATAAATATGCAATTTTGTTGCAGGGACAATTTGCTTTTAAATTTTCATCCATTGCGATGTTTTGCTTGAAAAAAAAATAATTGTTTACAAGATACTTACAAGAAATTTTACAATGCACAGTTGATAACACTACTGCAAACTCAACAAATTGCAGCAATTTTGTCCCATTGTGTGATAATAAGCATGCAATTTTGTCGCCATAACTAAATTGCATTGTCTTATACAGGCTTAAACAAATAAAACAATAAAAATTGGAAAAATGTGTGCCATGGGGGTTTTAAGTGATGCTGAAGAATGCCACGTTGCCACATTTTTAAATAAAAAAATTCCTAAAATACCTAATTTTTAAACAATTTGCAAAACGAATCGTACTAGTATAAGGGTTAGCAGCTGGATCATCGTAGTAGGTTGATCAAGTAGAACTGGAAGGCCAATATACATAAAAAAAAAATCAGTAAAATGGCATGCGCCAGGAATTTTTTAGATGGGTGCCTTAGTTCTTAGTGAGCCACACTGTATGGATCTAATTAAAAAAAAACATTTTTGCATTATTTTCAATTATTTTTATGCAAATCTGCAAAACAAATCTTACCTGCAAGATGATCAAGGTAGGTACACTTTATAATACAAAAACTTAATTTAGAATGTATTGGTGTCTTCTGAATATAAAGATATACAGGGTGTTTCTTAATAGTATGTCACATATAATTTTTTTGTCTGATGTTAAATATAAAAAAAGGATATGGTTGATGTGATGCTCGGTTATTTTAAAAAAAAAACATATCACTTGCCAGTCACCCAATTATTTGTTGAACACACTAACATTATCTTAAATCACCACAATCATTAGAAGAAAGCATAAAATAATGCATTTAAAACAGTTTCCTCTCATACTTGCAAAAAATGGCCATCTGGCAATGATGTAATGCTTTCACAAGATCAACCATGTTCTTTTATTCCTGGATGTCAAATTTCCTACCAATAATAAGATAATCTGGTTATAGTGCCCATCGGCAAAACTTTTATTGATACATGCTCTCTCCAAACTTCTTATATAGCTTCATTAGGCCTAGTCTGACACCTTTTTCCTCTCTGACTTTTTTCGATTTAGGGGCGTTTTCCCTCTAATTTTTCCGAAAAACACGTTTTGACGACATATAAAAAATTTATATTATACTGTTATTTTTAAATTGAATAGCTTAAAAGCTTCAAACGAAACGTGAAAATAAAATTCTCTGACAAAATGTCTGCAACCTAAAACATGTCAGAAAAACTACTATAAAATTTTTTTATTAATAACCAGCTGATTTTCTCAAGATCCTATCTTGAAGAACTGCAAAAACAACTTTTCATATTGTTTGACGAAAATTTTTTCCGATTTTCCAGTCTGACACGTCAAAGTTGGGGATTTCATGACTACATGACAAATGTATTAATAACAATTTTTTTCAACATATTTTGGTTTTTAAATTGAATTTAGAATATGATAAAAAAAATGTGTGGTATTGAAACAGAGCCCTTTACATGAAAATACTAAATAAAAGAATTTTTAATTTAGTTTTCTAGCTACGCTTGGACCTTGCGTTCGCAAGTAGCTTAATTAAAATAAATAGAATACAATTTTTTAATTGTCTGATAAAATGTATTTTCCAATTTTTCAGTCTGAAGAAAACAATTTCATTATTGTTTCATATTAATCTTTGAAGAATAACTCAGAAATCATTGATGAATCATTTTTATTTAGTATATTATTCATTCAAATGCAAAGAAATATTCAATAATTGCTTTTCCGATTTTGAATTTCTTGAACTTCACTTGAATATGTACACACACCTGTCTGTTTATTGCGAATTCTCGCCGGCATGGAAAGTAGTAAAAGTCTCTCTATTCTCCATGGATGCCGGTTTACTGTAAGATGAACACGTGTGTCAAATTATTGTGTAAAAATGGAGTGTTTCGTATGCAAATTTTAATAAAAGCTATGGTAGTCTTTTCTTCATTTTAACCTAAAATTGCCGCCTTTTTTTCATTTTTAGTCTCATGAAGAAGAATATCGTTCGATACATGTTTGGGACTTATTTTCTGGACGAGTGTGATTGTCTTGTACACTTGCACACTCATCCCACAAACATCTTTTGAAAAATACTATTAGAAGCGTGTGATTCATAAGGCTTTAAGTAGTACGCAAATAAGTTTTCAGCTTAATCCTAGCAAAATTGACGTAAAAACATTGATTAAAAATGTTTTGATCCTAGCAATCCTTAAGAAACAAACTATTAAATTTTCAGATGCTGATGATGGATATCCTGATTCCGAAACTGAGGAAGAATGCAATTACGACAGTGATACAGATGAAGAAAGTACGGATGATGATGAAAGCGATGATGAAAATTAAGCGCGCGCCATTATTCTATGGCTAGAAATTGGCCTCAATGATTTGGGATCGAGGGGGATTATCCCTCTTTATCCTGCCTCATCTCGTGTAGGCCTGGACAGCCTTCGTAGGTGGGCCCCATCCGTCGTCTACCCCGACCGCAAATGCGGCCGGTGTAGGCGCTTTGTGGGACCTCCTTTTGTCCTGGCTGGGCCCCGCCGGCTACGGCCCTTTCTTCTGGCGCTCTTCTTGCTTCGCCGGCTCGTCTGTGTAAACCCCGGGGGTAGTGTCATGTTTATGTGTGGTATGGTTGGGTAGGGTAGTGCGGCTATGCAGCCTGGGATGCGCTTTGCTAAGGTGGCCCTTAAGCTAGCGCGGGAGGGGAGGGGTAAGGAGGGTATGGGGGTGTGTATGTGTGTGTGTGTGTGTCGTTGTCTTCGTTTCTTGATCCTGGCTGTCTCTGAAACAGAAAAGGTTAGCGGGCAGGGGGGGGGGGTCATTGGGGTGGTCACCCAGGGTCAAAAAGTTGGTGTCTAGGTCTTTTGTGTTTGTCGGTCACGTCGGGTACGTAGTCAACGGCTTGCCTGAGGAGGGGATTGTCATGTCTAGCGGCTACGTCAAATCGTTTCTCCGCGTTTTGTCTTATTGTCTGTGTAGCGTTTGTGTATTGTAAGTCTCGTAATATGTCAGTGTTTCTTACGTACCAGGGCGCGTCGGTGGCCGTGCGGAGGGCTATGTTTTCCACAGCCTGTAATGACTTTAAGTGGCTTTTTGCCGCGTGACCCCACGCCGTGGAGGCGTAGAAAATTAAGCAAAATTATTTTTTTTATAATTTTTTATTTTTTTATTTTGATTTTATATTTTTTTTATTTTTAAAATTTTAAATTGTTTGTAGTCGTGAAATCGACAACTTTGACGTGTCAGACTGGAAAATCGGAAAATAATTTTTCTTTTCTTGAGAAAATCAGCTGATTAATAAATTTTTTATAGTAGTTTCTCTGACATGTTCGCGGTTGCAGACATTTTGAACGGCTCATATCTTTTGTCAGAGAATTTTATTTTCACGTTTCATTTGAAGTTTTTAAGAAGCTATTCAATTAAAAAAAAAACAGTATCTATAATTTTTTCAAATGTCGTCAAAATGACGAGTTTCGGAAAAAATAGAGGGAAAACACCCCAAAATCGAAAAAAGTCACAGAGGAAAAAGGTGTCAGACTAGGCCTAATGAAGCTATATAAGAAGTTTGGAGAGTATGTAGGTACCAATAAGTTTTGCCGACGGTCACTCTAATCCCTTTAAAAATTTAAAAAAATAATTTTATAAAGGCAGTGAAATCAAGTGTGTTGAATTGTAATGAATAGTACCAATTAACAATAAAAAAATATAACAATGTTTTTATTCAATTTTTCACTTAAATCATACAGTGTCATCATTTACAAATACAAAATATACATGAAAAAATCTTTAATAATCCGATTAAAACCAATAAAAAAATATAAATCATATAGCTTTCTTTTTTTTCTGTCAGATGTCTAAAAATCGTAGACAAATATTTTCCAGGTTTTTAATGATTACCATTTGGATTAATTTACACAGGCATATTTGCTAAAACAATTTCGATAGTTGCTAAACGATCATATGGAGTAATTTCAATCCTTTCCTTATAAGCAGGACTAAAATAAAGGATGACATTAATTCATATTCTACAAACAAGATTATCCCAGAGCTATGATATGTTATTTTTTTAAAACAATTTTATTAATCGGTAAATATCATGCCATGTATTGAATTATGAATCTAAATTTCTTAAAATTGCGCCAACATCAAAATGTATTGGTTTTGCAATTTTAAGAAATTATTTCCATTAAAATTTTATTACAGATATAACAGAAGTCACAAATATTGTAACTATGGTAAATAAAAAAAAATAACCTGAGTAATTACAGAATGTCTTGACTAGGACTAGTTCGACTTAAAATATTATTATCTGCAAACTGACTAACATTACTTGGAACTTTATGTTGATGAACACTTAATGTGTCATCTTCAACTGAATACGAAGTGTTTTGCCTAGCTAACCTGTTAAAGAATACTTTCCCATATTCAAACGAAGATATCATAATAGCGCAAGCTGGTGCAACTTTGATAAGTCTGGGTACGCTCCCAGCAAATAGTCCCCTTACTCCGTGTTGTCTATAAATGTCCCTAAATATTTCCATTGTTGTTTTGCTTTTCCCAGGCTGGTCTAAACATAAGTTAGTAATTATTAAATTAGCTACTTGAAAGTAAGATGACTATGATTAATACATACATATAATTAAAAAATATCTGGAGCATATTTTCGGTATTTATGAATTAAGAATCAAAGTTGTTTTAATTTTGCAAATATATTATTTTGTGAAAGGTGATTCACAAACGGTGACCAAAAATGAAACCTCATATTTTTTGGTGAATTTTAAGGGCAGTCTTTCCTATAAAGTTTTTATCTAGGATGCTTCGTTAAAAAGATACAGGGTGTTAAATTTAAAAAAATATCTTAAATGTTTTTAAATCCTAATTTAAAAACTAAATAGTAAGTGCAATAATTTGAAATGGGCTACATGCAATTATGTAAATATTGTCCAAAATCTGAGTACCTTTCCTAAAATTTAGATGCTCCAGTGGCGGAGATACAGGGTATCGGTGGAATATTTTTCTAAATAAAATAGTACGCTACTGCTTTACAGTAACAGTCATGATATTCTCGGATTTGTCTTTCAATTTTCTACAAATTACTACTCTCTTATGTTTTTCGAAAAAAAGCCTGATTTTTGAGTAAAACTTAAAAAAAACAACTGAAAATACTTTTATTTAAATGACATGACAAACGCTAATTATTCGGTTATTTATTCGAATAAAGAGATTAATAAAATAATTAGTCATCATTTCCATAAACACAAGCGCGACATCTTTTTAGTAATGAAAATGTAAATTTTCTCACGTGTGTTCACTATGGGACCTACAGCGTAGGGGATTATGTGCACGGAAAGTGGCAGATAGTACAACGCTGGAGCGTTACGCTATGAAAATAACATCATGCTGTTGTACTATCTGGCACGTTCCGTGCACATAACTCCCTACGCTATAGGTCCCATAACGACTTGCACTTGTGACAGAAAATAGTATGTGCAACTTTTCCTCACTCGTTACACAATGTACTATTGTTCACAATTTATTGTTGCTTGAATCTGATGAAAAGCATTATTTATTCTTTCTTCTAGCTGCTCAGTATGTCAAACTTGCTATCACATCCTAATATTTAATTTTAAACAGCATATTCGAATATCGAAATATGTTTTCAGTTCATTTTTTAAGTTTTACTTAAAAATCAGGCTTTTTTCCAAAAACATAAGAGTAGTAAATTTTTGAAAAATTGTTACTGTAAAGCAGTGACTAATTTTTGCCACAGGAACTAACGAGCGTTCAAATAAAAACGTGGTCAAGTTGGTTCTGAAAATTTGGACGTAGGGCGTAGCGTATAGCAAATGAACTTAAACGTCATCTGTCAAAGCGCTATATTGCCGCTATCAATTTGAATATTTTCGTTTTAAAAAGCGTTTAAAATGGTGTTTTCTCAAGAACAAAAAGTGTTTATCATAGAGTCCTACTTTAGAAATGAACGCAAGATTGATGGAATATGGAAGTATTCTATTGAGGAATGTTTCATAGAATTTCAAAATCAATTTCCCGGAGTTGTTGAGTACAAAGTGCAGTTCAGCGTTGTGTTAATGTTTTTCATAAAACGGGCAGTGTAACAAGAAAAGAAGGAAGCGGCCGACCTAAAAAGCGGACTGAAGAATTAAAAGAAAATGTCCAACAAATAATTAAAAATGCGCCAAGAACTTCCTGTACGTGTTTTATCACAAATGGTGGGAGTATCAGTCGGTACCTGCCACACAGTGTTAAAAAAAGATTTGCGTTTGTTCTCCTATCGTTTAACTTGTCAGCAAGAACTTCATGAAGTTGATTTTCCGCGACGGGCTGTATTTTGTGAATGGTTTTTAAACAACTACTTATACTACTTATAGACAAGATTCGTGAAATTAACAATACCCCGAGCATCTTAGAAAATGTCTTTAATTCTTTGAGGAACAGGTGTGAAAAGTGCTTGGAACAAGGAGGGGGACACTTTCAGCAGCTGCTTTAATTTATTGTTATAACAAGGAGGGGGACACTTTCCGCAGCTCCTTTAATTGTTTGTTATTGTTATTACGATTATTCTTTAAAATAAAGTTATGTAGTCATTAACGTTATTGAAACTGACAGCTGCTATACAGCTCGTTGAGAAATGAGGTTAAGTTGGTCGCTATAAGCTACTCCCTACGTCCAATGTGTCAGAGCCAACTTCGACTACATTTTTATTTGAACGCTCGTTATATTATTATTATACAAAAATGATTATGAAACCATATGGATATGAGGATTCTCTGTCATTTTATATGTGAAATAATAATACGATAAAAAAATAGATAAGTTTTCAGTTTGCAAGAAAAAGTTACAAATTTTATTTTGCTGTGGGTTGCCGAACACAGACAATCTCCTTTATTTTGAATAGTAATGATAGTAAACTGACAGTGTCACCTAATTATGCAAAATTTGCGGTACCACTAACAATACACCAATAGACCTATTAATATCCCTATATACCGAATGGAATTTAGATTGTTTTTATTTCCTGCTTTAAAAATATAATTTTTTTCACTATGTGTTGTCGATTTATCAATGGGGAATTTAGATATTTTCAATATGCAAGTAAAAGTGACATTTTGCGTACCCAAACTGTTACCCTTAGTTAACATTCGTCTTCTGATTTTTTAATTTTGAAACACCTTCATATTTTAAATTTTTATGTAGGAAAATTTTTAAATCAGCAGTACCCATATTGTACCAGACCTTAAACCAATTTAGCCTACTTTTTTTTTAATTTTTTCAGTAAATATTAAATAAAACATTGAACTTACCACTGTATAGAGTTGTCTCTCCAAATTCAATTTGTTGATGAGTTTTGACTACATCAAATGGCACTGTGACTGTCGCAGCAATCTGAAAAGATATAAAAAGGCATATTTTACACTGCCACTATAAATATTTCAATAGTTTGGATTCCAGTAGTATAGTCTTTCCGATATCAATTGAAGAACCAAGAAGTTGACAGTATGTACCAGGTTCGGTTGCTGACGCAGCAACTCGGCATTAAAATATTTGAAAAACTTGTTCCTATATTTATTTAGCCATACCCATATACAGGTCTGGTCGAACTAAACATGGAGGTGGTAGAAATGTATACCCCCAGTTGAAGAATGTGAGTGCGGGCAAATGAAATCTAACACAACTGCATTGGTCCACTGGGTAATAAATATCAGTTGTCGACAAGTTGTTGACAAGTGGTTGACAAATTGCCCAGCAGTGCAGTGCAGCAATGCGAAATTTGGTGTGATTCAGGTAATTTTAATATTTTATAGGCACCTTCTATTAGTTGATATTACAATTGCAAAAGGGAGAAATAATATTATTACACGGCATTTTGGAGACCTTTTGAAACGGAACAAAACAAAATTTACCATCAATATAATAAAATTGTTTGAGGATATAAATAATTAAAATATGTTGTTAATAGAAATTTTCTACACATTATATACAATTATAATTTTTTACCTTTAGCAGAAAACTTTTTTAGCGACGCCTATGAAAATCATTAAATTTTATTGCCAGGCGTTTTTTACATGTTCAACTGATTTCGGAAAGTCTATAACCGTATTACTACATATAGGATTTTTAGACAATCATTTCCAACTAATATAGCTACTACATAAAAAGAAGTGCATAACTATGAGCACATCTTTATTTACAGCGATCCCCAAATCGGCATATTAATTTGGTTAATATTAAAAAAATATGTTCTTAATTTGTAAACACCCTCCATATTCTACAGATAAAAAACTTACAGATCCAGAAATTGCGCCTGCTACAAAACTAAACCAAAAGGATGGAACAGTATCAGAATTTAAAAAAAAGGACTTGATGCTTTCATAGTGCATCCAATATACAGCAGAAAATGGAACATCTCTTAATAAAGTTGGAAGAATTCCTTTCCATAAACCCTTTATCCCATCTTGTTTGATTAATAATTGCAAACCTTCCCCAATTTCTGCAATACACAAAAACAACAGTATTATTACCTATCAGATAAGTACTACTCGTACTATACCTTCATGTTCCACTCTTTTAGTTCAATAAATTATTTAAACTTTCTTACCATAATAACTTAATTTTTTGGACTGCATTTTTGTCCTAATCAATTCTAGTGGGCTAACTGTTGTCGCTGAAATAATTCTTGCGGTTGCCCCTGATAACATCGGTATCCAATAAGGTTGTTTTAAAGGTTCATTTACAGGTTTGTTTGCATTATATAAATCTTTCAATTTTAACCTTAACTGTTCATATGTTACGAAATATGCAATTGTGGCTGGTATAGAAAGTACTAATGTAGGGCTTAAACCACTCCACAGTGAGGTTAATCCTTCCGTTCGACCAATTTTAATAAAAGCATCCTAAAATTAGTCAATGTACCAAAATCAAGACAATTAATGGTCTACTTACTACAGTACCATTAAAATGCCCTGGGCGTTGATACCACGTATTGATATCTTCAGGAGCGCACTTACATATATGATCCATCAATCCATTGCAATACAAAAAACATTTGCTGGGCTTTATCTCTTTTTGTTGGGCTTGCAGCCGAATTTTTACGACATCCAGAGGAGTAACTAAACAGAAAAGTTTAATAAAATTTCACAATTTTACTAAACATGTAAATTATTTACCAAAGAGTGAGGTTATAACAGCTCCGGTACATGAAGCCGCAGCTTGCTGAACTGGTGTAATCCTATATTCCAAGTCATCATAATTAATTTTTTTAGTTTGATTTACTTTTGACATCTTTATCGAATACACATATTCCAAATAGCACTCAATAGCACTCGTTAACTTTTTACAATCAAAATCTAAGGAACATAACACCTAAAGATGTGCCAATTCGCTCATTGCACTCAATTTTAATTTCTTGATTTGCTTGTCAGTTGTCAGTTACAAAACACAGACACAGACAAAGAAAAACATCTAGACTGCATTAGCTGAAGATAGTCGGAGACCTAAAATTTATAGCCAACCTAGAAGGTCCAAAATCTGTATCATTTGCTTTACATCGTGATACCCACAGACTTGTGATACCTATTATATTACCATAGATAAAAGAGTTACTATGACGGCTAACGGCTATACAAAAAAATCTAATTTGAGACGCCAGATATCAAATGAAATTTTAAAATTCATCGTTTTCATAAGTATTTATTAGGTACAATATTGCACATTTAGACTACACTTTACGAGAAGGTATCTATACTTATTGGATCCAAGTGGGACTGCTCGGATCCAAAGTAAAACTGCTCGGATCAAAATTCGGAAATCCAAATTATTAATAATTATGTTAATTACGCATACTAGTAGGTATACGTTTAGATTTACAAATTTTCATTCGAGTAGTCCCACTTGCAAATATAAATGCTGCTTCATAAACATCGTTTTTTTGGAAAGCCAAACCCAGTGTTGCCAGATGTGCGCGCGCCATTATTCCATGGCTAGAAATTGGCCTCACGCGCTATTATTACATGGCTAGAAATTGGCCTCAATGTTTCAGGATCGAGGGGGATTATCCCTCTTTATCCTGCCTCATCTCTGGAGGCCTGGACAGCCTTCGTAGGTGGGCCCCATCCGTCGTCTACCCCGACCGCAAATGCGGCCGGTGTAGGCGCTTTGTGGGACCTCCTTTTGTCCTGGCTGGGCCCCGCCGGCTAGGGCCCTTTCTTCTGGCGCTCTTCTTGCTTCGCCGGCTCGTCTGTGTAAACCCCGGGGGTAGTGTCATGTTTATGTGTGGTATGGTTGGGTAGGGTAGTGCGGCTATGCAGCCTGGGATGCGCTTTGCTAAGGTGGCCCTTAGGCTAGCGCGGGAGGGGAGGGGTAAGGAGGGTATGGGGGGTGTGTATGTGTGTGTGTGTGTGTGTCGTTGTCTTCGTTTCTTGATCCTGGCTGTCTCTGAAACAGAAAAGGTTAGCAGGCAGAGGGGGGGGGATGCCGTTGGGGTGGTCACCCAGGGTCAAAAAGTTGGTGTCTAGGTCTTTTGTGTTTGTCGGTCACGTCGGGTACGTAGTCAACGGCTTGTCTGAGTAGGGGATTGTCATGTCTAGCGGCTACGTCAAACCGTTTCTCCGCGTTTTGTCTTATTGTCTGTGTAGCGTTTGTGTATTGTAAGTCTCGTAGAGTTTCTTACGTACCAGGGCGCGTCGGTGGCCGTGCGGAGGGCTATGGGTTCCACAGCCTGTAATGACTTTAAGTGGCTTTTTGCCGCGTGACCCCACGCCGTGGAGGCGTAGGTTAGCTGCGGTTGAAGTACCACCTTGATAAGCGTTCGCTTATTCCTTAAACTGAGGGTGTTTCCACCTTTGAGTAAGGGATAGAGCCTAGCCCTGGTGGTCTTCGCTCGCGCCACCGTCTCCACGATGTGCGGTTTCCACGTGAGACGCTGGTCCATCGTCACGCCCAGGTATCGTGTTTGTCGATTCCAGGAGATGGGTTCCTGGGATAGTGTCAGTCTGTCAAGGTTTTGTGGGATTTTTCGTTTGGTAAAAAGGATAGCCGAACTTTTGTTGGGATTAATTTTGACTTTCCACCTGTTGCACCAGGTTTCAAGTTGGTCTAAGGAGTTTTGGAGGAGGGAGACGGAATATCTAGGATCTACGGATTGGGATGTGATTGTCAGGTCGTCGGCGTATAAGTATATGTTGGTGTTGGGGGGATGTGGGATGTCGGAGTTGTAAATGGTGTATAGGTGTGGGGACAGGACGGTGCCCTGGGGGACACCGGCCTCCATGGGACGGGTGGTGGAAAGGGAATCTTGGATTTGGATGCGGAATTTTCGGTGGTGTAGGTAGGATTTTATGACTGGGGGACACCGGCCTCCATGGGACGGGTGGTGGAAAGGGAGTCTTGGATTTGGGTGCGGAATTTTCGGTGGTGTAGGTAGGACGACCGGGAAGACAGTACCAGTGTACTGTCCCCTGTTGAAGGCCGCCGTGATGTGCTCGGTAAGGCGAAGGCTTTGGAGTTCAGTGGAGTGATTGGGTCGGAAGGCGAACTGCTCGTCTGGAATGACTCGCAGTTCTTGGGAGTNCTCGGTAAGGCGAAGGATTTGGAGTTCAGTGGAGTGATTGGGTCGGAAGGCAAACTGCTCGTCTGGAATGACTCGCAGTTCTTGGAAGTGGGTTTTTAGACGGATTAGGATGATTTTTTCTACCACTTTGCTCATAGCCGGAAGCAGGCTAATAGGCCGGTAGTTGGATGGGAAGGTGTGATCTTTGTTGGATTTTGGGATAAGGATTATGTTTGCTGTTTTCCAGCGGGTAGGGAATTGTCTTAGCCTGAGTGTCACTTTTGTTATGTTTAGTCGTAGGGCCATGAGGCCCTTGTGTGGTAGTCGTTTAAGTGTCGTGTTATGAATATTGTCGGGTCCGGGGGTTTTTCTGTTTTTAAGTCTGCGTATTGTCAGTCTTAGTTCGTCAGGTGTTGCGGGGGGGATTATGTCATTGTCTGGCTCTCTGTCGACGCGTCGGGCCGCGCGCTCAGCCACTATCTCGAATTCCTCGTCTTCGTCGGGCAGCTGAGGCAGTCTACACTGCAGTTCCAGGCTATCGGCGAAAGCCTCGGCCTTTTCCTGGTTCGTGTAAACCACCCCCACACTACCGTGGATTGGAGGAATTTTACGGCGAGCGGTCTGTCGCAGGGCCCTCTGCGTTTTCCAGAGGCTGTTGTCTTGTGGATCCAGCGACTCCAGGTGCCTAGCCCAGTTATCCTGGGCCAGTTCATCCAGAGCCGCCTTCACCCGTCTGTTAAGTACGTTTAAGTCATGTCTGTGTCGGGGGAGGCGGGTGCGGGTGGCAAGCCGTTTCGCACGTCGTCTGTCACGTATTAAGTTTTTTATGTCATCGGGGAGGGTGCCCCGGGGGTTTGTCAGTCGGGGGACAATAGTCTCCGTCGTAGTCTGAGTCAGGGCGTTTTTAATGTCAGTCTCAAGGGAGAGGATTGCCGCCTCCAGATCATGGGTGGTTTCGATGACTGGGAGCGCCATGTTTCCTTGCATTACTGTTCGGAAACGCTCCCAGTCAGTGAACCTCCTCGTGAAGGTGCCTTCATATCTCTGTCTTCGCCCCAGATCCAGAAATATTGGATTGTGGGCGGAAGACCCTTCGTATTGGGTGGATATTTGGGCATTTAACGGTATAGATTTTAAGAGGGCAATGTCGATAACGTCGGGGCGTCCTACGGGTCCGTAATGTGTCGGTTCTGTCGATCCGAGTATCGTCAAGTCGTCGTGTCTGTCTTGGTAAGTTAGCAAGACGCAACCTCTTGTGGTCGTCGTCCCCAGTGCCATATGGGGGACTTCGCGTTGAAGTCCCCGATGGCAATTGTCTGGGGCCAGGAAAGGATTTTTGTCTAAGTCATTGTCAACTAATGGTAGTCTGGGTGGGTGGTAACAGGACACCACCGCAACGTCTCCATGCCATGCCGTAGCGATCTCACCGCTATCGCCACGGCCTCTGTATTTTGAGTTTGGAGCCGCTGCAGCGGATAGTGGTCGATGCACTTCTTTACTATGAGTGCAACACCACCCCCGTTACGATTTCTGTCATGTCTGTATATGTCATAGTCAGGGATGGAGGTACGGGATGCCTCGCTGAGGTAGGTCTCCTGGACAGCCATAACGTCTGTGTTTAGACGGTTCAAGATGTCCACGAGTTCCATTTTTTTGGCCCGGAACCCGTCAAGGTTCCAGGACGAAATTCTCAGCGAGGAGGGTTGGGAGGGCCGACGAGCCATTAGAAGTCGAATAATTTTTGCATATTCGACACCATGGTCGTCAGCTGGATGCAGAAGTCCTGAAGACGCGTTGTTGCGTCAATCAGGGCCACCGCGCCCTGCCAGATGTGCAAAATTTTATGCTATGTGCAGAATTCTACATGTCTGAATAAATCATAGAGCTTATAACAAAACAAAGAAGTATATAAAACACTTCGTCGAATGATTAGCAGTTATAGGTATAATACCAAATCCCTACTAATATTATAAATGTGAATGTAAGTTTGTTTGTTACGCTTTCACGCGAAAACTACTTAACCGATCATCATAAAAGTTTGTACACATATTCTTGGAGGTATTAGAAGTAACATAGGATACTTTTTATTAAAAAAAAAATATTTTTTACGAAAGATTTTGTATCACTCTGCGAGCGAAGCCGCGTGTAAAAGCTAGTATATTAAATAATATTACAATCTAAGTACTACAAGCTGATTTTAATAATTTCTGCGTGTTGTTCAATATTGCGCGTATCCATAGAAAATGTTAGTACTATATTTTCTATGCGTGTATCCCACAGATATTGAGGTCAAAATAAGGCGACTTAGCTTTATCTACCCAAAGTTGCTTTATTTAACCGCTAGAGGGTGTTAAATTCTATAAATATTTAGTGTTTTCCAAATAACGAAATAATTGTTTTTACAGAAATGGGGAAAATGCCCTGCTCCTAAACGACTATGCTTATAATTTTTGTAGGTGATCCTACAACTTCAGTTGCTGATTTCAGTTGCAATTAAAAATAACTTCTCAGATTATATATATTGTAGTTACTATGATTAAATTTGAATTTCATGCGAAATATAATAATTTAATTTATAAGCTGTTAATAACAATTTTTGTACGGGTTGCTGGAAATTAGTTTTAAGAAATTTAAGAAAATATTAAGGTTATGATTGCTATTTAATATCTATTGTGCGCATGTCTTATTAAAGAAAAATAAATAAATATAAACAGTTTGGAAGATGACTTGTTTTATTTTCTATTGTGTTAGTAAACATAATAACGACCCTTTTCACCTGATTAAAAAAAATAGTTTATTCAAGGTCATCTGTGTACCCAGACATAGTATTTTTAGTTTAGCATAACCGTTAATTGAGATATATATTTTCATTTTGCTTTTTGTTTTATATTAAGCTACCAAACTCGAGAAAACTTTTTTATATCCAGTCGTTTAAAAAATATTGGTGTACGAAAACCTACCAGTTCATACATCAGTATCACTTCTTTTGTGGGTTTGGGTTTACACAACATTATGGGTTTTATGAACACCTTGGTATTTGTTTCTTTTTAGTGCATTTTAATAAAAGCTTGTTTTTAATATATTTTTTTATTTTTCATTTATTTACACCTTTTTAGTTAGAAATATTTCTCAATCTATCTTCTCTCTTCAACAGTTTTTAAGTTAACGGTCATGCGATGGTAAAAAACTAAATATTTACATAAAATAAATTTACATAAAAATATATACCTATACTTACTTTTAAAAAGACCACTCCTTTTTTAATTTTAGTACTACGCCTATCCCTCAAATTTAGTTATATCAGCATAATCGCTTTGCTGGTAAATGTTTTGTGTTAAAATATAAAAATGTTTTAATTTTCCAAATAGGGTGCCTTTGTAAAAAATGTATTCAAATTTCTCTGAAGAACCGCTAAAGCCGGACCTGTGTTTAAGCAAATCCATAATTTAATGATAATATTATTTTAAAAACTCTAAACGAAATTTATAATCTACATTTTCTCAGAACGGGCTAAAGGACAAGCCAACGCCGCGCCTACTTAGACATGTCTTTCTACTTGTATGGTACCTGCAATTAAAGAAAAAATTGAGGAATCATAGTAATCATGCATTAGTTATTAAATCACGAAAAGCAAATTTATCTCTATTATTTTTTATATCTTTCAGATTCCTCACTATTTAGGTTTTGTAGCAATTATTACAGAGTGAGAAAATAGTTTTTATATGCTCTAAGCACGATATATGCATATTGAACACATGATCGTCCTTTCACTCATGCAAACCAGGAATACTAATGAATGGAATCCCATAACTATCAGCGAAAATATAGCGGTATAACACTTTCTATCAGTACCTACTCCACTAAATCCACTGTTTACTAAAGTCTCAATAATGAGTCAGACTATTAACATAAACTATTTGGTAGACTGCTACAGGTTATTAACGACCTAGGGCATTAAACTAGGTGGGCCTTTGTAATATTATTTCCCATGTTATTGTAATCTTCATATGGATGAAGAGCATGAATTAGCAAATTAATAAGCATAAAAAAAGAATACAAATGATTGTTATTATAAATAAATTATAAATTATTCTATAAGGTAAGACAAGAAAATTTGTCGAAAATATGTGATGGAAATTTTTTGTGATTTAAGATGTTAGTTATTCTTTCAATGTCCATAAGGTTTTATTTATAGCTTTTTCATTACGTTTCTTTGAAATTCTCTTTCTGATGAAGATTAATACCTATATAGTCTTTTAGTTTAACACAAAGCAGTTGATAGGTACATACAGTGTCCCCCTAAAGTCGTGCACAAATTCATTATTAGGTAAACAAAAGAAATTATTAAAAATTCCCGAAACAGGTCGATTTTTGAATTTAATTTACTAATTTTTCAAATAATAATTTAATATACAGGGTGACCTATGTTCGGGTAATGACGTCATCACAATTTTTTTTAAATGGAACACCCCACTTTTTTTCCAATTTTCGGATTGCCCTTACTGAGCTGATTCCAAAAATATTCCACAAGTTGCTTCTAATTGTTACAGGGAGGACAACAATATCCAAATTATTTACAAATACTAAATTTATTTACAAATAAATAAACGTACTAAAAATTGAATCAAATCAATATCATTTTAAAATGTCATTATTTTTTGCTATAATTTCTTTGATGCTTTTTTTAATTTTATCTGCCTGATAGAACGAACTCGTGTATTTCTTGCAGGCAACCATTTTTAAATAGTTTGTTAAGATTGTACAAGTAAATCCATTTTGAATGATTCTTCCTTAAAATATTGAGTATCTTTGAATTAATTAAAAAACATGATTCTAAGTGAAACCGAACGGATTGAAATTCTTTTGATGATCGGATATGGTGATGGAATTCGAACTCATGAGGCTGTTTGTGTTTTGTTTAATGAAATTCATCCCAATCGTCCACCAATAAATCGATCCACGGTTAGCCGAACTGAAGCAAAGTTTCGAAATCATGGTCATGTTAAAGATATGCCCAGATCTGGCCGACCGACAGATAGGGGGACACTGTATAGTAATATATTATAATAGTAATTATTTCATTGAAGCTCATACCAAAACCTCACAGTAATAATGTAGTAATGTTCTTCCAAAAATTTCTTAGATCAGAATGTCCAGCATGCTGTTTATAGTAGCATAACATAAAACACTTTACGAAAATAACGATTATAAAATAAATCAAAACATATTTTAGTGGTAATGTAGCTGTGAGAGTGTGAGATAGCAGAGAGATGAAAGCTTTCTTAAGTACCTACCTACCTACCATATTAAAGATAGCTTTTAGCGACGAAGATGAAATTCGTCCATATTGACGAAAATCCCAGTTTTGCTATTAAGATTAAAGATAAAGCAACACATTCCTTTCTTTTTGCATTTCATTTTTTTGCTAATTAATAATTTGCTAATTAATACTAGGTGCGTTGCAAATAACGCTGAAAGCTACGAACTTCGCAATTATTAAAAAACAACACATTAGCGTCAATGGCTCCAAAAATGCTACCTACATGCAGATAACAATTTGCTCATTCATTTATTTTGTTTTCAATACCTTAATGACAGAAGATTATTCATTTCTTTTGAATGAAACTATACATGTATACAGGGTGTTAATGAACTTATGTCAAAAATTTAAAGCGGTGAAAAAGGAGCAAAAACTGAGTTAACTGATATCACAAACTTGCATCGGAAGTTTAAGGTCATAGGGAAAAAAGCTAATTAAAAATATGTTTAAAACTGTTTTGGAAGTGCTCAGGAAGTATTTTATCGTGGCAAGTAGGTACTTACAAAAAATTATGTAACACTTTTTACGAATTTGTGGGTTTCTTATGACGCCGGACTTTATTCGAAAGTCAGTTTGTGATACATTGTTGTAGTGATTGCTGTTGCTGTTTTTCGAGAGTACATTTAATAGCCGTATTTCCAAGTTTTCTTTTGAAAATAGCGCATTTATTTAGTAATCGTGAATATTATGATATGCTCATAATTTATGGCGAAGCAAACGAAGAAACCACAGAGCTTGTCAAGTGTACCGTGCAAGAATATCGCACAGCAAGTAAATATTTTGCATCCTGTTGTGTGGCGTATACATATTACGGAAAGCTCAGTTGTACCCATTTCATATTCAACGTGTTCAGGCGCTTATTCCTAAGGATTTTCCACTACGTTTTTGCGAATGGTTGCTTTAGGAACATGCAATAAATTCTCAATTTACAGCGCAAATACTTTTTACACATGCAGCATGTTTCAGTCGAAATGGTGTACGTAACGTTCACAACACTCACCACTGGACTATCGAAAATCCACCCGAAATACATCGCGGTGCCTTTCAGCAACAGTTTTCAGTGAACATGTGGGCCGGTATCGTTAATGACACTTCAATAGAATCTTTTGAATCGCCTAGATGCTTAGACGGTGCTTTATACCTAGATTTTTTGCAAAATCGCTTACCGGAGTTATTGGAAGACGTGCCATTAAATATGTGCGCGACTTTCTAAACAATACTTCCCAATCGCTGGATAGGCCGCGGCAGCTTAGTTAGATGACCGGACCTCACCCCTTTAGACTTCTTTTTGTGAGGATATGTGAAAAGTGTTGCGTATTGCACGGAAGTTTGTGACATCGACCAACGTGACAATGTTGCAACGCGTGCGAGCGAATTGGATACGTGGCGCTAAAGCTTGTGTGCAAGCAAATGGTGGGTAGGTACATCGAACATCTTCTATGAAAATCAGCAGTTCTCAAAAGGTGGCTCCTTGCAATGTTGAGGTAACTCAGATTTTAAAATTACATTTTACTCTACACAAATTCGTGTATTTACCTCATTTTGACATAACAGACATGTGTCAAAAATATTTGACATAAGTTCATTAACACCCTGTATATATATTTTTATTCCATATGTTAAAGAAATCGAAAACTATGAAACTAACGCAGATAAAAATGCATTTAACATAGAAATATGTTATTATTTTTCTGTTTACACATTTTCAATAAAATTAATATCATGAAAATTACAAAGAAGTGTTGATATTCAGTGCATAAAAAATAAAAATCAAATTCCCATATACATATTATTTCAATTCAGGAAAAAATTATGTATCAGATTAAACCCAAAGATCCATTTGAAATAACAATTGATAATCGTCATTAAGGAAAGCGTTGGGATTTGGTGTGTGACAGTTTGCAGTAGTTTTGGAGCCATTAACGCCAATCTTTTGTTTTTTAAAATGAATCTAAAATGTTATAGTTTGCGACGGTTTTTACAGGACACCCGGTACAATTAAATTACGTCTATGTCACTTGAACATTTCTATACGCCTAAACATGAAATTATATTCTACGGTATACTTGTAGGTATGCTATTTCTGATTTTCTCTGTTAATTTATCGTCAGATCCGACTCTGCATCGTCTACCTCATAACCTACTTAAAATAGTTGTCAGCTCTTGTTTGCTTTTTAGCATAAAGAATATCAGTCCATCGACCACAGTTCTAACGAAAAGTTCCTTTTGTTTTTTTCATTTTTTTTAAACAGGATTATGGTGGCAGGTAGTCCGGTTAAATTCTCGTGCAGCAAAAGAGCAGTGGTATATTAAAATTTTCAGTTAATTTATTAAATTTGAAAATGCTATCTTCTGTTCACGTAATTCTTTTATTTAATTTTGTTATTTGCGAAGAAGGATTAATCTATAAGGTAAGTCCACTGGTTTTATTATTGAAATTTTGGATTTTGTTTTAATTTAATTTAGTAATTAATAAAATTCTTTTATTTTTATTATTTAAAACGGCAACTACTTTTCCTAGAACATTTTTCAGTACCTATCCAGAAATGCAAAACGTGTTACTCGTAAGGACTTATTCATAATTTTTGGAAAATTGGCAAAGTAGGTACAGGGTTTCCGATCGAAAATACTCAACCCGATAACTTTCATTTTTAATTTTAGAAAATAGTAATAACGCAAAGGATAACAAATATATTATATTTGTTATCTTTTACATAATATATCATTTTTTTATGTGGTCGTGTATTAGTAATTAATGTTTCAAAAAAAAAAAAATGCAAGGCGCAGAATATAAAATATTGTTATCACAGTATTATAGTCTTAACTGGAGTACATTGTATTTAGTTTTGGTGTTATTATCAATAATTATTTTTCTTTTTTGTTATGGAACTATACTTTGTATATCGGTGTGTAAGTACATTTAAATTAAGTTTTCGGTCACATTCTATCTCTATACAAATCATTTTACTGCTCTAATATTACTTCAAATATGCAAAGTTTTGCCACAAACTTGATAAAGAGAAATGTAGCAGAATTAATATTTACATTTTAGTATAAAGAAATTCAAGAGAAACAATGAATAATATTTATCATCGACTATCACAAAATCAGGTATAGGTTAAATAATAAACACACCTGTTTAGCTCTCAACATAAATAGTGCGTCTATTAAAAAATATGTAAAATATTCCCATCCGAAGCATGTTGATGATGACAGTGGGAGAAGTAAAAATTAGTTGCCAATCAATAATTCTGTATATTACTACTAATAAATATTTGCATAAAATAAAATGGAATTTTGACTTTTTATTACCTCCTTAAAGCAGAATAATACTGGTGAGCTTCAAATATCTGTATTATATATAAATTGAAAATATTGCAACAAAAAAGAGCTATAGGTACTATTAAAATTTTTCAGGAGGGACAAAAACGTGTTTTTAAATTCAAATTGATTTTTTTTCTTTTACTGTAAAGTGGTTAACATATTGAATAGAAGTACAATAACAGAGAAAACAATATTTTAAAGACCTACAGTTTTTTGAAAAACTAATAAAACTTTTGCAACTACCTCGTTTTTGCCACCAAAATCATGAATTTTTTTTTATTGATGAGAGTAATGTGTATGAACTTTACTTAACTAAAAGCAAATTTTGATGTCCACTGAACATAACTGTATGTAACATGACCGTTTCTATTATATATTTAAAATATTTTGGAAGCTACCTCATTTTTGCACCAAATAAAACGAGAAAATATTTTGTTTAAAGAAAACCTAACTTTTTTTAGAAAATAATAATAAGTAGGTACATGTTATTAAACTAATTTATTGAAATTCTCCAAAATTGCATCTCTATTTTCGATATTGACCTTGGTGAAACAATGACACTTGCATTCGCAATCATTACCAATTTTGTAGTCTTCAACTCGCTTCCCTTTAGCTCCCACATAAGCCTTTCCTGATCCCTATTATTTTTTCTTAGATTTCGTTTCCACTTTTCAATAATAACTTTCTTTTTTTTTCTAACCTCTCTAACCTTTTGCATAAACGAGGCATCTGGTATATACCTCGTTTATGCAACCAATAGATAATGGATATATCTGCACACTTGCCTTGTTACCTAATGTTTCGCAGTAAATAGAGGAGATAGGTACAGAAAATTGTGTATGATCGAAACCAAGTAAGGTACATGTCTCAATTTTTATCCAAACGACAATATGAATATAATTTACCGATTCCTGTAGGTAACTCCATTTGGCCAAAAAGTACAGCTACCTCGTTTTTACTGCAATGTCTTCAATTGAGTTAATATTTACTGATTTGATTTTTTTTGAAATTCTTGTAAAATAATTAGCACCATGTTATTCCTACATATTTTATACCATATTTATTTTAGAATTCAGACATATCAGACTCGAACGCAATATTCAAATCAAATGTAAAGCCGGCATCATTCGAAGATAGACAAGAAGTTCCTTCCTATTGGCAGCACTTACCTAGGATTGCAGTTACAACTCAACCAAACTATAAACCATTTAACAAACCCCTTCATAAACCAGATAAACTTTTGTACATCGATGAAACGAGAAAAGGCATAGGAACAAAAGTGACGGAAAAAATCGTAGAATCACCCGTTTTGAAGATAAGGGATCCTTTTAATGGAACACATCAACCACTAGTTTCACAGCCACTACCACAAAGAGGGAACGTAGTTGATTGGTTTTTGGGGGTGGTTGGCATTCGTCCACCTGATTCAAATCCTTCAACTGTTCCTCCAGTCAAAAATTGCCCATCATGTAGTAAGTGCCCGTATTTTGCTTGTTAATAAGTCAATTCTAAACAAAGTCGTATGTGTTCAGAATTAAAGCATTCTTTTATTTCTTTTTTCTTAACAGAAAACATTTGAACATTTCCCAGTTTTGCGTCATAATTTTTCTAAAGAAAGAATATTAGAACTTAATGAACAACATGATTCGATATCACAAGAAAGAGTTAATAAAAACTTCAAGGAAATTTTCTTGTTTCTTAAATATTAGAAAGATAGCAAAACTATATGGCATGTATTAAAATAAACATAGATATATCTCAGCTTAAGAGACAAACCGTGTAACTAATTTTTTATGACATCCTTATTCTTTTCCAGCATGTGGGCGAGTATTTAAACACAAAAGAATTGTTGGCGGAATAGAAACGGTTATAAATGGCTATCCCTGGATGGCAGCTTTAATGTACAACAATCGATTTTACTGTGGAGGTTCTCTCATTAATAATAAATATGTGCTTACCGCAGCCCATTGCGTCAACGGGTAAGTTTGTCCATAATTTACACTGAGAAGAGGTGCGTATTTTAAAATCACAACTGGCAGAAAAGTTATCAATATTAATTTATAAATTGCTGAAATAAATAAAAAATGTAACAGGTCACAGTATCTAGTAATAATTAATAACAGAACAGCAGGAGGATATTTCAATGAGTTAAAGCAAATTCATAACATTTTTTTAATGTCCCTACTATTTTAAACTTACAGAGAGGGAAGGTTATTCTTAGATCAAATTTTGATAACGTCTAATAGTAAATTTCGTGCACACACAGATTTCTGAAAGAGAAATCAAGAGGTTCAATTGTAATTATTTCTTCGAAATGTTACCATTTATCCTTATCTAGAATGTGGGTGGACCTATTCACGAAACTCTCGGGGTAAAACAATAACTTGTTCCCAAGTAAGTAGCAATACAAAGCTAATGTAGGGGAGTTTAATGTAAAGTCTATTGTGTTCTTTTATGAAAATGTACGTATTTACACTGTAACACTAACTCCATCGGGGATCGAAACAGATCCTGAAGCCTTATCTGTATAATCCTAATCTTAAGTTTTCCGATAATGTCTTATTTTCCTTTGAACAACATTTTGGAAGGATCAAAGATTTAGAAATTTTGTCAGCACGCCAAAAAAGTCGGTGCAATCATAGCTGAAGACTATTTCCCGACTTAATAAAAAATATGGTAACGGTGTGAATTGTATGAAAAAGGGAATGATTGCTTAAAAAAATAACAGATCATTGAACACTATAAAGCAACAAAGTTGTTACAAACTTTCGATACTGCTTCATCTCATTAAATCAAGAATAACATTATTTCATAAATGGTTTCTAAAGGCTTTCTGATCTCTCAAAGGACCCCGCATAAATCTTATGGGAAATGGGTCCTGGTTAAATTGGCTGAATTTTTTTTTATGTGTTATGTATCTCGGCGTCCTGTACAAATGTTTTCATAGGCGCAAAGTCCAAAACTCCACGGGTTCGGAGATAAACCCACCTAACCTCTAGAAACAACCCCTACCAAATCACAAGCAGACCCTGGGAACAGCGAGTTTAGTCGATTATTTTTCTTGAAATAATTAAATTCCACACCACAAGGGGACTAACCCACCTACCGTCTAACTCACCCCTACCAAACCACAAGTAGGCTAACCTACCTGACCCTGGGAACAGCGAGTTTATTCGCTTATTTTCCTCAAAATAATTAAATTCCACACCACAAGCGGCTGTTCGTAGGGTCTGCTTGTGGTAGGGGTGGTTTCTAAGGGTTAGGTGGGCTTATCTCGGAACCCGTGAAGTTCCGGACTTTGCGCCTTTGTAGCCATTTGTTCAGGACACCGAGATACGTAACATATAAAAAATTCAGCCAGTTTAACCGGGAGCCATTTCCCATAACGTTTGTGCGGGGTCCTTTATAGTTTATATCTTCTATGATTATTGAGTACCTAGATCATCAAAAACTGCAATTGAGGTCAGTTTTGTAGGGTCATAATGTAACTAGGAATTGTTTTAGCAAAAACGTTACTCGTATCTTTTGGTAGGAGGAAGCAATCCTGAAAGTTTGTTGCAAAGGTGCTCAAGGTATATTTGCTGCTTTTTAAGTACCTTCATATTTTTCAGATTTAGCAGAGAGAAGTTATCCGTGGTATTTCTAGATCACGACAGATCAACATCACAGGAAACACAGACAGTTATGAGAAAAATAAAAAATATTTACAGACATAGTTCTTACGCACATGGTGGCAATTACAATAATGATATAGCTTTACTACACCTAGACCAAGAAGTGCCTGTTGCTGGACTGCTAAAACCTGTATGCCTTCCTCCTATAGGTAAAAGTTTTACAGGATACGATGGTAAGTTTGAAATAAAAAATATTAGATACTACAAATAATAATGTAGATATTTAAGAAAAAATACCAATTTAATTTCATTAAATGGTTGTACAAAAAAATTGTAATTTTCTTTTAATATTACAAGCAAATGATAACTTTTCATAGCCTTCTTAGTTCCAAATTTTCAGTTGGCACATTTAATTTTAAGACATAAATAACTTTTAATGTTATGGAATGACTATGTGGTAGTAAATACATAAATAATGTTATACTCATTATATATATACGATCTTTATAAAACCAATGATATACTTTAACTGCTACCAAATTCCTTACCAATCAATTGAAATTGTATTGGTAAATATTCATCTGTTTTCAGTAGATATTAAAAGTAAACATGGTATTTGGCAGACTAAAATGTGACACCCCCTGGAATCATTCAACACTTTTAATTAACGAACTGCAAACGATTTGTGCTTATACACCAATGGGTATTTCTCTTTTGTATAAATAACATCAAATTCTTCAAATATTCCCTTACACTTAGTTCTCTCTATTTCGTCGACGCAACTCTCTCATGTATTTGAGTTGCTATTACCTATTTTTTTTTATTACCTATTAACCAACAAATGTATGAATTTAAAAATTGAACATCTACAAAGAATGGTATACAAAAATCATAACTAGCCTATGTGGTTACCATTTATTAGATTAGATTAAACTTATTATAAACTTCAAAAGGATATGAGTACATAAAGGATTGTAATGTGTGCTATAATTAGTGCAATTTATTATCGGCAATATAAAAGCATAATAAAATCATTATACTTATGTGTAATTTTTATTGCGATATTTTCAGGTACAGTGAATCATTACAATTATAATACGTATTGGACTAATTTTCTAAATACATGGGAATAAAAAATGGGTAATTTTACCAGGATATTTAGAAGTTAATTGTTTAATTCTGTCCTTAATCTATTTACTTGAAAGAGAAGGTCACTTCGAATGGGGGCACTGAAGGCTAGCACAAATATTGAAACACTTCACTCTGGGTTTTAATTTATATTACCAGTTTGATACCATGTGTCAATGATTTTTCTGATATCACTCCACGGTTTTTATTAATGTTAAAAGTTTAAAAATGTTTCTGATATTTTGTGGCATTTTCGGTAACTCCCTTTATTTGATTGGGTATTTTTGTCACACTGAAAAGAAAAAAATTATACATAACTCTTTGACTCTTGCTTAACTAGAAATACTTCAAGCTGAAAAAGTAAATAATTCCTCACGACACATAAAACACGATACTGTTTACATTTTGAAAAAGTTCCTGTTTTCATTATATTCGTCCCCAAATTGACCTGATGTGAGTTTCCCCTTTTTGTTTATTTCCCTTCCACAGAGAGATAATAAGATATTATTTATTATTTTTTCTTTTATTACTTACCCCGTGGTTTAGGATATTCACCTAACAATAATCGAAATTCTTCGAAACCTCATGCATCACTACATAAAAAACAAACGCGGACTCTTGGTTTTTCCTATTATTTTTTTTTTAAATAATTGTGTTTTCTTTTCATTAAATAACGTGATCGTTTTGCCTCACATATTGTTAAATTATGGATTTTTTAAATTGTTTCTCTCAACATGGCGAAATTTCGAGATCTTTAAATGTTAGATGTCTGAAGAAATGCCGGAGAACATCGGGACCATACGAAGGTTTGATAACGAAGATTTATGGCAATTTCATTACCATAACCAGCTCTGTAATGTTGGTTGCCTAAACTCAGTGTGATATTTCTGGTTAGGCAAAACTAAATTTTTGAAAATCAACCCTTTGACTAATCTTTTTGACACAAATATTTATTTATTAAATATTTTTTAGTATGACAGATATACTCAATCAAATTAATAGAATTACTTTGTATTCACTTTTAATTCAGTATTCGACTCTAAGGACTTCAAAGAATAAAGATCAAACAATTTATGACCAAGCACAATTTGACTTATTGAAGAACGAGATTTTAAACCTGGTACAGTGCTTAACCAGTTACGTTAGAACTGGAAGGTTTCAGAAACAAGTTATATGTCTTTGAAGATGAGCCTCTTTTGCAAATTTTCCATGAAAACTATTATACATTTCAGGCATTGCTGTAGGATGGGGAGCAACTAAAGAACACGGATCCATTTCAAATAAGCTGTTGGAAGTAACTGTTCCAGTACTATCAAATATTGATTGTAGGAAAACAGGATATGGTCAACGAATTACGGATAATATGTTATGTGCTGGTTTTCCGGATGGGAAGAAGGATTCCTGTCAGGTAACTAGTTTTCCTAGAGCAAAAATAACCTCGTAAATGAACATGCCGAAATGTAAAAACTGTCTTAAACTCTTGTGAAGGTAAATTTGACAAAGTTAAAATTAGATCCCGTTTCAACAGCACTTTGGATAAACAAACGCTGTAAATAATAAATATGTATAGTAAATTCCAAAATATTTGATATAATTGACACGTATACTTTTAGTTTAAAAAATGGTATATTATTATTATTATTATTACATAATAGCAAGGACAGAGGCAAAGCCTATTTAGTCCAATAAAATATACAAAATGACAGTTAACAGCTTTTAGAGTAACAGTAAAATAAATAGCTAACATAAAAGAAAAAGAACAAATAAGTATGTGAACAGAATACCAAAATAACAATATAAATCACAGCTAACTAGCGAAACAGGCCATAAACCGCACACGAAAATACACTAGACGCGCACTCAATGTAAAAATTCTGATGACATCCATGCATCCAACCTGTTCTTGAAAGAGTTGACCGATGGGGCAGTAACAACAGATGAAGGTAGGCTATTCCAATGGTAGAACACTCTATTTGGGAAGAAATTTTGACGCAAAGACGTTTTGAAGTTTTCTCTCGATAATTTAAACTGATGACCACGTAAACGCTCATCCAAATTTAACCTAAATAGGTCTCCAAAAGTTAAACTGTATTGATTATTTAGAATCTTATACATTTGGATAAGATCACCACGAAGACGTCTCACATTAGTACAAGTAATTCTCAAATTATCCAAACGGTGATGATATGGAAGAGATCTAAATTTGGGGATCCATTTTGTGAATCTTCTCTGCACGCTCTCTATCAGATTAATATCTTTTACCAGGTAAGGGGACCATATGTTCACGCAGTATTCCAGATGCGGACGAATATATGTTTTATATAATTTTAAGAAGACCTGATCGTTTGAACTCTGGAAACACTTATTTAGAAGATAAGACACGGAGTTGGCTTTTTTTCACAACGGTGGAAATATGTTCAGAAATCTCCAGTAAAAGTTGTTTCTGAACATATATTCGAATTTAATTTAGGCCACACTTGCTAAGTTTGAACGTGTCATTGATTACTTTTCTTATATACAGGATACAGGGTGTCTTCATGCATTTTTATAAATACAATACACACAATGTGGCATAATTTAGCATTCTTTAAAACCCCCTTATCTAAAATTTCATGAAGTTGTTAATTTTTACATGAAGACCAAAGTTTCCAAAATACTTGAAAATGGTAAATTATCATTGAAAATGGCTATAAATATCATGTTAGCTTTTAACAACCAACTTATAGTGAAATTTCAATTTTCATAAAAAAAATTGTATTTATTTCTTGAGAAATATAGGGTTTTAAGATGCTAAATTAAGCTACGTTTTCAGAATATCCATAAAAAAGATACTAATAAGATTACGTGATACAACACCTGTTAAAAGAAATGACAGCAGGCCGTGTCATGGCACTATAACTGAGGCACTTCGTCTGTTGTTCTGTAGATGCCCTAAGATTCTCTCTCTCAAAGGATGAAGGAACGTGTAAATGTAATTTTTTTCCAGTAAGGCTTTGTTTCCAAGTTATTCGAACTTCAAAGTTCCTTCATGTGATCAATTTTTAACTACAATAAACAATAGCAATAGCCTTGAAATAAATGATAAAAAAACTAGAACTTTCAAGTATTTTATAATAAGTATATAATAGGATACAATGATCAATTATGGTAACAATAATTGATTTACAAAAATGAACGTATTATTAACCACCATCAGTGTGGATGCAATCTTGGCAGCACAGAATAAGCAAATCGTATACTGAGTGGATGTTTTGACTATTTTGAATGTATTTGGTTAATTCATTATGCTTTTTATTAATTCCTCATGGTAATCAATTTCCACCGCGTAAACCAATTGGTTAAGTGGTCCTGCACGTTACAACACTTGTCCACGCCGACTAATCCATCTCCAATTAAAGGTTTCGTTTAACCAAATGCAACCTTTCGTCTAATACGTGTCGGTGTTCGTCATGCTGATACCACAAACGATAAAACCAAGTCAAGAGAAAAATCTTCCAGCAATTCTGTGATATCGTTTTCTAAAAAGTTCAAGAAGCCTCATCATCCAAACGATTAGGGACGACATAAATAGAAAGTATTTGTCCATCGAAGACTCCGCCATACCCATCAATATAGAACCTTTGTTGAAAATCTCTTTTTTGAAAGCGTGAAAATTGTCTTTACGTGTTCATTATTGCTGTTATTTATGCCATTCCGAGTAAAACTTCGTCCAATTAAAGACTCTCTCCTATAAAATTTTAATTCTGTTCATGCTCTTGAAGAGACCATTTGCAAATTGCAAGTCAGTGGAAGTTACTTCCTGGCTGAAAATTTTTTACTTTTTGTTTATGAAATGCATGTAAAACTTCACTGTTTAAGGTTCTCCAAACAAATTTATATGATGACATTAACAAGGGTAGCTTAGTTTCCAAATTCCTAAATTTTCAACCACACGATCTATTACTTCTTCAATTTCAATATCTTGATTTCACTAGGAGCACCACCAGCAATATGTATATTTCAATTCCAAACTTTCGCAGCCTTTTTAATGCATCTGAAAGTACCCTAAGAGATGGTTGTTGCCAATTACGGAATTTCCTGTTGTATTCCCTACAAGCTTGTAATGCATTACCGTCGCAAAAGTCAAATAAAAAAATTATATCAGCGTATTCCGTCTTAGAAAACTGCTTAACAAAATAACCAAATCAATAAAGCAACTTTGACATCTTTTCGTATTTTAACCATCGTCTGCTGAATTACAGCATCCGTATAGGTATAACAAAGTCAGGTGATTTAACTGATTACAGTTAAACGCTGATCACATGAAGAATCTTTGATGTCTAATAACTCGGAAAGAAAACCTCACCGACCAAAATTTCAATTTTATATTTTTTAATCAGAATATCACCCCGTACATATTAATTAATTTTTCGATTCCAGTAACGTAATGAATCCTAATAGTACGACGCATTGAAATTTGATAGAGTGGTTTAGGATCAAATCTGAACAGTGAACATCTTGTAAATCGGTTGCTTTAGTATAATTTTGTGACTGTTTCCTTTTAATATCAGCAAGGGCTGCGATGTATTTTTCAGAGAAGTTATAATACAATATGATATGACGACAAAATTAGTTTCCTTCCCGTTTCGCTCGTAAGGGAAAGAAAAGCAATTTTGCTTTGTCAAGTGAAATCATAAAAACTTATTGTACATAGCTATATCAAAATAAATTGGTTTGTATACATTTAACATTGCCTTAGGGTGACAGTGGGGGACCTCTTCATGTTGTCAATGGAACGATTCATCAAATTGTTGGTAAGTACATTGCTTATACCAAGATTATCATAATGAAGATTATAATTTTAATATACAGGATGTAAAAGCCGTATTGCGACAGAATTTTGGACCTGACCCTACTTGTTAATAATATAAGTAAAACAACAAGAATAACACATTTTAGGTACTCTAAAACAGGTCAATTACGTACTCAAGAATCATTAAAAACATTGATTTTCAACTTGATATAGCTCGACAAAATTCAATTTGGAGTGAACTATGTTCTTTAACAGAGAACTTTATTCTTGAATTACAGGGAGTAGAAGAAACGAGAGAAAGGAGGCGTCTCTCTACTAAAACTCATTAATCGGTATTCTTGAATGGTGTTCTATTGAGTAATGATAGAAGAATTGTTCCCTATTTCTTCTACTGATATTTTCGGGGGAACAGACAGAGATCATTAGACCTAACCCTATATTGTTTGACATGTTTCACAAATTACAAATTCCGCAATCTGTCTGTAATATGACTAATTACTGTTTTGTGGTGATATCCTTCGAGAAATTTGAGGAAACGTTCGTATAATTTGTGTTTACTTGAAGGATACACGAATAAAATAATAATAGTATAAAATGTATCAGCCTATACAGTGCGTCCCAGAAGTAACGCAAAAAATTCATATTTCATTTTGTGTTGAGTTTTCACAAAAACGCTAAAACACGTCAATTAGTAAATTAGAATTGTCGTTTTGTCACGTTGCTTAAACCTTTTTTGCGCTATGTTTCATAAACCTATGACGTCATCGACATTTTTTTTAAATAGCACCACCTAATTTTTTAAGCATAAATGGATAGTCCTTTTGAAGGGAAATACGTCGATATAGGGTTTGGCCTACTTTACTTTGACAGGAGCGGAAAAAAAGCCAATGACTGGAATGGACATGGTTTAAAATAACAACAAAAGTAGGTATCATAAACTGATGCGAGAACAGTGCCACAGTATAAAATGGAAATTTGGGGATGTTTTGTGTTTTGGTTGATTGTAGGTACGTTTTTATGTACTGATATGTTGGCGTTTGCGGCGATACGACGAATGGCAATGTGTGGATTTTCAGTGACAGCTAAACATAACATTTTGCCTATCATTTTCTGTCACTGTCGTTGGCCTTCTAGATCTAGACACATTTCTAACATGGCCAGCGTCTTCAAATTTGGGTACTAATCTGCATACTGTACACGGAGGTATTGGTTGTTCTGGATACTTGGCATTGAATAATTGACATATTTCATCATAACTACGGATCCTATATCTCCGTATTCAACCATAATTAGGATTTCAGTTCTTTGTTTCTCATTTAAACACAACACCATCGTAATGTAAAGTTATAATATTTGTAACTGTGACAATGATATGAGGCACTATTGCATTCGCTAACTGTCGTCTTCAGAACAATGCCTACATCATACATAGCCTCTGTGATTGGGTGTACCTACCCAATCTACATAAAAACATGTGCCAACAATCAACCAGATTTTTTGCTATAGCACTGTTTGCGCATAAGTTTGTGATACCTATTTTTGTTATTAATTCAAACCATGTTCATTCCAATCGTTGGCTTTTTTTCGCTCCTGTCAAACTAAAGTAGGCCAAACCCTATATCGACGCATTTCCCTTCAAAATGGCTAACCATTTATGCTTAAAAAATTAGGTGGTGCTATTTTAAAAAAATGTCGATGACGTCATAGGTTTATGAAACATAGCGCAAAAAAAGGTTTAAGCAACGTGACAAAACGAGAATTCTAATTTACAAATTGACATGTTTTAGCGTTTTTGTGAAAACTCAACACAAAATAAAATATGAATTTTTTGCGTTACTTCTGGGACGCACTGTATAGTATTAAAATATTTGTAAGTTCTTCCCAGTTAGCCCTCATTTTCTCTCTAGTGTAGCTGGGTGTTAAATTTCTTATATATTTGTTTTTTTACCCTCAATATATTCTATTAGAAGTTCTTTTTGTGTAGAAATTACTCGATTTAGCTTCGGCTTTTTATTAATTTCAATTTTCTGTCCTTTTTATTTGCACCTGACACTGACAGACAAATAGCAATAACTCTAAAGTAGTACTTATTTAATGACTAGCTAATCACTAATGTTCATTCTACCGCCTGTTTACTGCTTTCTGATTGGTCGATACATTTGACAACATTGTTCCTCGTTCTTCACTTTCAAGGCTCGATCTCTTTGTATCGAGAATACAGTATGAATTTTCTGATAGAACAGTAGTAGAGCGAAATGAAGGAATGTTCCCCAGGGAACATTCTATTCTCTCACCGTCAAGAATCGAGCTCATAGTCTACTGTAAGCAATGATGAATATCGAATACTTTAGTATTGATATTCCAACAATGCAAACTGTGGTCAAAGCTAAAATTAATTTGGTAAAATTCTTTCATAATACAGATCTACGTGAAAATTTTTATTTTATACATTACATAGAATTCTATTTCCAATCATTAACTTTTTTACTTTTTTTTTCATAATTTACATCATCCACAAAGACCATGATAATGTTAAGGAGACTGTTGCTATTGAAGTTTTTCACAAATTCCCATTTATCTGAATGGAACATAATCAGGCTAATAAATTAATTTTTCCCTAATTACATATTTCTAAAAGTGAGAGCAAGATGAAACATTATTCAATGTAACTCTTGCAAAAATGTCTTTTCGGTTCTCTGAGTATTGCAATTTTCACGTTGCTGTCAATTTTACTTACTATTTGCACTAGTAGCATAAAACTATTATTTATTGTCAACTAATACCGTGATGCATTGTAATGCAACCCGAAAATGTGATAAAAATTCATGTCACGTCACGAATTTGTTACAACTTATTGTAAATATTGCCTCATACGCGAATTTGGTTTCATTACATATTTCGCCTTTCTATTTTCTTCTCATTTTCGTTTACTGGAATAGGGTCCATATTATAAGTCTATCTGTTGATCCAATCTATATTACATATAAAATATTCTTTATTGATATTATGTTCTTCAAAATCAAATAAAAAAATTTTCATTTATTAACCTCATTTATTTTCAGGAATAGTCTCTTGGGGCGAAGGTTGTGCAAAGCCGAATTTTCCAGGAGTCTACACAAGAGTAAACAGATATATTTCTTGGATAAGAAGTAACACACGAGACGCTTGTTATTGTTAGAACTAATTTATTTTTTAATAAACTTTCACATATAACTGTTTTGTATTTATCTTCATTTTATTACCATTGCAGCACTAATATCATTCAATAAGATTTTTACTGTTTCTTTCCTAAAAGCCAGTAAGTTTGCATTTCACCTTTTCCCTAAAAAAATATATGCCAATACATCAAAAAAGTATTCGTTATTATATTACCTTCACTTTGACAATTCCTCGAGATTCGATCTTATATTTTTCCATTGAGAGAAGATTTTTTGATCCGCAAGATATATTTATTTTACCAGGCTGGATACGAAATTTGTTTTATTCAACTATTCATTATAAATTTATATGGATGCATTACCTACCTCACTCGTCGACTGCATCCTGGAAGCTGTGTTAACAGTATCCCCAAAGAAACAATACCTGGGAACTTTAAGCCCTACAATTCCTGCTACAGCAGGACCAGAGTGCATACCTATAAAAATAACAAATACTTAAACATCTAATAAAAATACATGGACGAGATATTCATAGGGTTATAACCTGCTAAAACAACTTTAGTTTTAGATGCCATTTATGTTTATGATATTTTAGAAGGAATTTTAATGAAACTACATCCTTCAGAATGCGGTATCTCTTCTAAGAGGGGTGGATAGAAAGCGAAGTAGGAAGAATAAAAGTAACTAAATTTAAACTTCCAACTAGTACCTACTCGATAAGCTTTAGTAAAGTGTATTTCAGTGTTTCTCGCTATCTCACTGCATGGGAATTCTGCAATTCGGTATTCAAATTCTTATTATTTCTTGTATGGTTTAATATTTTCTCCTTCAAATGTTTCAAAATCTTAAAATAAAAGAAAAAAATATCGAATCGAATGCAATAAAGTATTGGAAAAAGAACTATCAATTCATAAATAATTGAAGTAATTTTTATAACTAAATACGAAGTGTATGCACTCAGCGATATTTTTATTGGTATATTCACTCAGCCCAGAAAATTAGGACCTTGTCCGTGTCACACGAAAAGAACGTTCAAAAAAGCAAATATTTCAAAACAAAATGAATAAGATTTATGGGAGTTTATATAGGCAAGAAGACTTACAATTGATAATATAAAAATAAATTTAATATATTTTAAAATGGGAACATTTAAAAAATAATATTGATAATGAAAATTTCAAAGTAAAAAATCAATAAGTTCAAACTTTATTTGCGGCAAAATCAGAATCTTGAAGAATATGAAAATTCATCACTTTCAGCTCACCAGCAGCTAGTCAATGTTTGATAGTCTGATAGTCAATGTTTGATATATGGTTTATGTTTGATATACATGGTGATTTTGAAAGTGGGGTATTAATTTTAACTGATGACAGAAGGCATTAAAATAAATCATTTTACAAAAAATTGCTCTAATAAATGTGTTTTAATAACCGAGATAACTGGGTTTAAAGTTATTGCAAATTTTGAAGCCGACTCTGTAAATCTCTAACTTACCCTAATAGGTCAAGCAACGAAACACGCTAATGTTGGGCCGATACGTTATCGATAAGCCACGTGTTAAGTATAGCGCGCGCAATCCTTGCTTTGATTGTCACGCTTTCTTCAGTTAGTACCTACGTATTATAAACGAATTGTGTTTTCGTTATCATTTTGGTGTTTTGTACTGTGTATTTAGTATCTTTTTATGTTAATTTGCTGGCAGAGTGATAAAACAATGGCCCATGCAGTAATAATGAACTTGTGGATATGTTGTTAGTGTACGGGAGTGTAATCAAAATTCGGCGCATGCTGCTCGACGCTATGCACAGAAATTTCCTCGTAGGTTTCATCCCTCTGCAAGACGATTTGTTTATTTAAAACAACGAGCCCGGGATACAGGCAAACTGCAAGAAAACCGTGGCAATCACGCTGGACGAGCTCGTCCTTTGCGAATGATGCAGGCTGAAAGAAGAGATTTTGGATATCGTTGAGGAGAACACCACAACGAGTACGAGAATAATTTCACATCAGGTAAATGTATCCCAAAGCAAAGTATGGCAAACTTTACGATAAAATCAACTTTATCCGTTCCACATACAACGTATGCACGCATTACTACCCGAGGATCACCCTAAGAGAGTTCAATTTTGTGAATGGTTACTGCAACAAAACAATGCGATTGAAAATTTTTCGAGACGTATCTTGGTAACTGATGAAGCGACTTTTATTAGAAATGGGATGGGACGCATGTATGAGCTGTAGAAAATCCCCATTCAATTCGACGAACAAACTTCCAGCAAAGATTTTCCTTAAATGTGTGGGCAGGAATTGTAGACGGAAAGCTTGTTGGACCTGTCATTTTGCCGGACCGGCTAATTCTTACAGAATAATTTACCCGAATTACTTGAAGAAATTCCGTGTGGTATATACACGATGGCGCTCCGCCTCATTTTCGGCGTGAAGTACGTGATCATTTAAACAATGTTTTTAATGACAGATGGGTCGGACATAATGGACCAATTCTATGGCCTCCACGCGCACCGGACTTAAATCCTTGTGATTTTTACCTGTGGGGGCACATGAAAATGTTAGTGTATGATGGCCCTGAAGTCGCCAGTGTTGACGAATTACGAATAAGAATAGAAAACTCTGCCGAAACAATCCGCCAACATGATGGGCTGTTAACTTCTTGCACTGAATCATGAGAACGCCGGCCTAAGTTTTGTTTACAGGAACACGGAAATAATTTTGAACACTTGCTATGAGTGTACAGGACCGGATTACATAATTTAAAAATGCGAAAATAGGTGAGTTATTTCAGATTTTTTATAAATAACATTTTCTTCTTCTATTTTTTGTTCTTAAAATAAATAGGCGCATACTAAAATTACTACCCACTTTCAAAATCACCCTGTATATTCAATGTTTGATGGCTATACCGTTCAGTTGATAGCCATTAATATCTTTGAAAATATACTAATTAAGATTGTCTTGGGTTGCTCGATCCACAGCAGTATTACAAGTCACCATGATTGCAGATGCAGAAGGTGATGTTTTAAAGTTGTTGTTTTAATGTTAAAAAATACGCAGAAAGCCAACTATAGAAGAATCTCAAACAATGCCATTGACGCTACCGATATACTGTCTACTATAGTATAGTTTATAAACTCAATGATATAACATAGAGGTTATTTGATTTGTATATACACCTTGCTAAAAATGAATAATGAATAAAATACTGATGTACTTTAAGTGAAACTGTGCAATTGTGGTATAAAACAATTATTGCAGAGGTTCCTATAAAAGCTTTTTTACATTGGAAATTATGTAAAAATCTGTTACTTTTGACACAATCATCTAAGAAGAAATATGTAATTTCATTATAAAATCTTATAACCGCCCAAAAGGTAAAATTTAGGGATATACCCTATCAAAGTATATCGAATGCCTCACCTATTCTAATTTCAACTCCATTTCCGTCGAGAGTTGTAATTTTTTTTATCGCTTTTAACATTGTCAAAGCTAAATCGGCTATATTTTGAGCATGTAATTCTGTTCTCTCTGGTGCTCCACTCGCCACCATATAAACCTGACCGACAGTTTCAACCTAAAATCAAGAGACTTCAAGGTTAAATATTAATTAATCTAAGTATCTCCTAACATTAGAAAATATAAGTCTGTTTTGATTGGTACAAAATAATAACTCGGTGAGTCTTAAGTCTGCAGTTAGCATTTTTAATATATGTACATTAAATTGTGATAATCTCTACGTATTAATTTAATATTCTTAAGTGCAAGATAGTAGATTTATTTAATATTTGTTCTAAGTGTATGGAATCAGAAGTAAGAACCTCACTAGTTTATCTAAGGATTTGTATATTCTTTATTAATTATATGTTATTCTACTTCATTTCGTTACATTTATAAAGTATTTTTTTAATATAAAATTATTTCCACAGTTTTTTGATTTCAAAGTATTCATTTATCTATATTTTACTTCTCGTATTCTTCTTACTTTTGGTTTGTATGCAAATGTTGCTTTTTACTATAAGTATATTACCTTATAAACATTGAATTTATCCATTAATTCATCGAAACACGAAAATACAGCATTCATAGTAGTTACAACAACCATGGTTTCCTTGACAGTAGACGATGTTAAACCAACGAGTTCACAGAACAAAATACTCACAGCTTCGAATGACTAAAACGAAAAATTTAAATGTTTTTGAGTAAATGTGTAAAGTTACCAATAATAAATTATTATATACCTCACAGGTACATATTGAAGAAGTTTTCCCAGTTCTAAGCCTGTCAGCAACTGTTTTGGGTATCATTGAATATAATAGATCATCTCCTCTTCGTTTCCATGTATCAAGGAGTTCGTAACTTTTTTCTAGTTCGTCAGATCTCTGCTCTGCCTTGTCAAAAGTCATCTCAAGTCTACGGAGAAATAATACACATATAGCAAATATTCACAAACAAAAATTTAATTTTTACTTGGAATTGTGCTGCCATCCAGCAAGAACCAATTCTTTGCTTAGGCCGTGAGAATTTAAATCATTCAAATACAATCCTTGTTCTGGTAGTTCATCTAGATCATTTATTCTTAAACACAAAATTATTTTATTATTTAAATGAATCAAGTAGAAGGAGAATATAACAATATTTTTATTAATTCTTCTAATTTTGTTCCCTAAATAACTAGTTAATAGTATATATTATTAAAAATTGAAAATAATTACACAGGGCTGCATAAGAATATTATAGCATGTATGTCTCGTATATATTTCATTTGCCCTTTAAGAAGAACGTTCTTTGTTCCTGGAATAGGCGAGTCACTTCCATTTGATGGCTTGTCTACATTTACGTATCCTCTGTTGCATTCTAACTCGAACATCACCGACTGCAGATTAAGAGTCTGAAAATAAAATTATATAAATAATTAATAGTGCCCAAGCATATGCTTGCAAGTCCTAAACAGAGACCCTAGTTCTAAAAACTAGTGCTAGTCACACTAAAAGATTATACAGTCATAGAATCAGTACAAATAACAATATAAAGGGTAAGTTGTAATCCCCCACTAGAACTCTTAAGAGTCAGTCGAAACCAGAATCTGGAGTAATGAATAAGTGACTTGGGAAACAAGATCGTGAACAATGTTCCATAAGCAAAATTGAACTCAGTGATGTCAGACAGACGTAGGTCTCCTGGCCTTTCATCGGAATCTATCCTCTCGGGACTACTCAAGATGAAGGCTGATGAGCCGACAAGGGACATTCATCCCTTGTGGGCCATCCTTCCCGTATTGTTGATCAAATGGAACCCAATCACATCGCTCCACGATAGACATTGATGAAAAATTGCACAGCTGCTCACATTTCTTGCCTGGGCTTCCAAACTTGTTGAAGAGGCAGCATGCATCCTCTGTTATTGCTGAGTCTCTCTGTCTCGTCCTATTCCTACTACTTCTGCTTCATCATATGGATTAGAACATCATGATTGATGGCCATTGTTCCTAATTTAGGAATAGGCCTAGATCTGCCACTTCTGAATCTGTTTGTCATACTTTCTGATCTGAGGTTAGTCTGATTCATCAGTGGTCTTATGAAAACTTTGTAAATAGGAAAGTATAAAATTACAATCTATACTTTGAGACATCACATTCAAAATATTTCAACGTCAGCATATAAATGCTATGATTTCTTATTAGAAACTCTAGTAGATTAATTCTCCCCCAGTGCATACTAAACTTAATATGGTTTAGAAAAAATTGAAAGAAAGTTTTGAAATTTCTTAGCTTTAAAACCCTCTTAGATGATGAACTCTTTTTTACTACTGAGTCATTTTAATAAGCATTCGATATGCATTGTATTAACTTCAGCTTGATTTTTTTGTATTTGTATTAGGTGAAGAAGACAGTATGGTGTGTTATACTTCTTGAGCAGATCTAAGCTCTCTTCAGCTGCGAAAGAACATGCACAAATTTTGCTTCAGTGTGTGCTCTCTCGAGTTATGTCTTTAAGGTTTACTTGCGGTTTTAGTTCGCAGAATGACAATTCGTTGGCCAAATGGTGAAACCTGCATGCACCTACGGTTTAATTCCACAAACACGATCATGTTCTTCTATGGGCCTGTAGAAAAATTAACACTAATGCCTGATAGTCCTTTTTTTAATTCATGTTGGGGTTTCCAGTTTTGTACAACAAACGAATGTGTCGCACTTAACGATAGGCTTCTTGATCTATATCAAAGTATCTAGATCTAGTAGTCTATCACCCGACTACTTTCTGAATAGTAGGTACTTTACAAGCTTAACACACACACACATTTGGGTTTTATTGACCCTATACAGCTATGAGTTGATTCAAGCTACATTCCACTAACTAAAATAGCTATTTCCATTTCAATTGTTAATCAAAATCAGAGAAATGTGCAAAATTTGTCAAGTGCAGTCTTCTCAAAAAATAAATCTATTATATTTTACTTGTACTCGTATTCACTCAATCTTTAGTCTTTAGTTATTCTCAATAAAATCAGTTATAATGTTATATTTTCTAGTGTAGTTCTTTTTTTAGTTAAATTATTCTAAAAGAGGTGGTTTAGTTAGCATCATATTGTTTTCGAAGCAGAATACCTGTTTATATACAAAAATGTTTTCATATATTCTTTGTCCAATAAAGAAATTGAAAATGCAAGAGACATTTGATTTACAGGCGCTATGAATAAATATACAGGGTGTCCCGCACAAGAACCGACACAGAGCAGGTGCATGTAGGGATGTTCAAAAAATTGTAATTTAACCAAACTTACCTATATACAAAGTTGCAGAAGAACCAAATTTGGTTCATGATTTAGGTTTATTACTGGTCTTCTTTGACTATGATTTAAAGTTAATTGAAGCACTACAAGGTGTTCATTGGAGATGATTCAACCCTAAAATTGTACCGAACTTTTTTTTCATTGACCGAATTGAAAAATTAATAATATTAATTCACAGCAGAATTTAATTTAAAAATTTTTTTTACCTTAAATCTACTTTAAATCATAGTCAAAGAAGAACAGTAATAAACCTAAATCATGAACCAAATTTGGTTCTTCTGCGGTAAAGTTTTGCAGATATTAATTTCTTTCGAAACTTAGGGCCCCATTTTGGGGGCTAATAACTCCTCAGGGGTGCAATTTTGTATATAGGTAAGTTTGGTTAAATTACAATATTTTGGACACCGCTACATGCGCCTGCCCTGTGTCGGTTCTTATGCGGGACACCCTATATATTTAACAATCTACTTAATTGTAACAACTGTTATGGTAAAGGATTTTACATACATTTTTCCAAGAGAAAGATATACCCTTAGGTCTCCTGAGAGTGAAGAAGTGTTCAATTGGTTTATTCAGAAAAGTATCTTCTCCCCGCCATATATCAATGAACTTGTCTCCGCTTCCCATAATTTTCATGCTTGGGTTCATTATTATACCAAACGGAAACAGTTCCAATAACATCTTACATGGAAACGCAGGCAATAGTCCTACTTGATGGAATGACTCTTTTTGAGCTTTGCGTAACATCTAAAAGAGTAAAACTACAACGAATCTCTTTTGTTACATGTAATATTCTACTTACGTACGACCTGTTGTCAAAATCTAGCCTAAAAGTAACTATAACAAAATTTTTTGTGCCAGTTGAAGAATTAGCTTTTTCAAGTACCTTCACTGCCAATTTCAAATTGAAAAAATCTTTTGCAATTTGTAATAGCTGACCTGTAGATGAATTTGATTAAAACTGAGTAAATAATTGAATAGATATGTATGGATTCATGTTCTTACCCATGACATACTGAGTAAATCCCTGCCTACCGCTTCTATAGACCAGAATGCATCCATTTGCATCGACATTCGTTAAATACATGGAAGGGCTTTGCATCTTGGGATAAGTGAAACGGAACTGAGTGTGAATGTTGTCAACACTTTCAAGAAAATCAGTAAAAAATCTGCCGGTAGCTCTAATGGTCACATCGTATCTAAATAAATGCAGTGAAAAAAAAATTATATGCCATTCGCAGTAGGTATGTACTTTAATATGCAAAATTCAAGACAAGATGTCTTTGTTGACTTCATACGTTTTTGCTCGTTTTTAATCGAAAATTCCTTGAGAAATATAATTTTTTCTTTTAACAATAAATATGCCAAAAATGAACTGGAATAATTTTTTATATGCCTTAAAGAATGTAAGTAGATAGTATAGAAAATATTAGACATTCTGCCATTGATTTTTTTTTGTTGTATTGAAATTCGAGATTTCGTAGTTCATCTATCATTTGTCATGGCCCATTTCCATAGTTTTTGATATACAGGGTGTCCCAGAATAACGTGTACAACGGAAGACCACAGATTCGTGTACTCAAAAAAGGCAAATCTAGACTAATTCACCTATATCCGAAATCGCTTCGTTTGGCCGCTAGATGGCCTCAAAGTTGGTGAAAATTTTGTAAATAACTCGAATACGTATTAATCGATTTTAATTATTTTTGGAGTGTAAACTTTTGCTTTCAATCTACACAATTTAGTGTTATACATAGTGTTTTTTTAAACCTACAACTCCTACAAAATTGATGTATGGTGATAATATCCGTTCATAACTTTTTCCTCCTTCGAGCAATAATGACAACTATTTTTTATCTGATAGGTGATACGATTTGGAAGTTTTTGAGCCTACTGTAAAATTTTGATTAAATGGGCGGTTTGGGGACAAAAAAAAATATTTTTTAAATGTCTACATTATCGTGCCACCCATATTACAGTACCTACTTAACAAAGTGAGAGTAGGCACTGGTTTTGTAGGTTTCAGTCCGATTTTATTCATTGTGCCCGAAAATTCTTAATGAGTGTTTACGACGATAAGATATACCTGTTACTTATTTTTCGATATGTATACACACATACGACAAATTAAAAAAACAATTAAATACAACGTATTGATAACATTATTATTGTCCCTTTTATTCTACCCGATAGACTGAATGGGGAATTTTATTTAGAATTTTTGCAAAACACTTTACCCGAGTTATTGGAAGATGTGCCGTTATCACTCAGAGCTAACATGTGGTTTATGCATGATAGAACTTCACCACATTTCACTGTAAATGTCTCGCAGTATCTGAACCAAAGATTCCCTCCTCGATGGACCGGTAGAAGGGATAATACTCCAGTTAATTGGCCTGTAAGTTCACCATCCGACTATTATCTTTGGGGCACGCTGAAAACAACAGTGTATGCTTTCATATCTAATACTGAAGAAGAGTTGTGGAGGCATATCCTAATTGCCATAAATGTTTTAAAAATTTGCCTTCAGGAATTGCAAAGGGTGTGCTTTAGCTGAATTAACTTTGTTGTAGAAAGAACGGTGATCATTTTGAACAGTTTTTATAGTTGTACTAAATTTAATAACTTTGTTACTTTTATCTCCAGCATTTTTTATTGTATTTGATTGTTTTTAATAATTATCTCAGTAAAATTAATTAACTCTAATTCGTCGTATGTGTGTACCCATATCGAAAAATGAAGTAACATGTGGTATATCTTATCGTAGTAAATACTCATTAAGAATTGTCAGGTACAATAACTTAAAGATCAAAATCAGTGCCTACTGTACTTTGTTAAGTATTGTAATATGGGTGGCAAGATAATGTAGACATTTAAAAAATATTTTTTTTGTACTTGACCGCTCATTAAATCAAATTCTACAAGAGGCCCAAAAACTTCCAAGTAGTATCACCTATCAAATTAAAAATANACAACACATATACTCATCAATATTATAGAAGGGATTCTGTAAGAGAATTCGCTTTACTTTGTTACGAAAGAAAACACAAGAATTTATCTGTTTAATATGCGTTGGCAACTTATATAATTGAATGAATATAATAAAAGGGCCATTAGCCGTTAACGTTAGGCGATGCTGGGGTAGTTTTAAATCAATAGATTCTCTCAGATTATAGCCGGAAGACTGAGTTGTACTGGCGCGTGTAATGCAATTTGTTAAATTGTTTTTCACATATGTAACACGGCTTAAAATATATAGTGAATAAACTGTAAGAATACCTAATCTTTTAAATAATTGTCTGCAAGAATCTCGTGCTTTTGAATTAGTCATTGTACGTATAATATTTTTTTGGAAAATAAATAAATCTTTAATATGTGACGAGTTACCCCAACAAATAATGCAGTAGCTTAAATTAGACTGAGCATAACCAAAGTAATACATTTTTAAAATTTCCAAATCTACAAATTTGCCTAAACGCCAAAGAACAAAACAAAGTTTTGCCAATTTATTGAGGCCATCTAGCGGCCAAACGAAGCAATTTCGGATATAAATGAATTAGCCTAAATCTGCCTATTTTGAGTCCACGAATATGTGGTCTTCCGTTGTTCACGTTATTCTGACACCCTGTATAAAGTAATAAAAAAAAAGTTTGTATATAACATCAATTATTAGGTAAGCATTACAGATGAAATTTTTTGGTCCTTCGAGGTGTATATTGAGGATACTGAAGAGGCTAAAAATATAGGAGTTCATCAGGACTGCAGTAAAATTTGGAGTGTAATGTGCAAGTGTCACTTGTCAGCTTATGAACAGATCAAGTTATGACGACAAGCACCAACGAGCCAATGTTGTGATTTGAAAATCCTAAAACATAGCAAGGCATATCATCACCAGAGTGTGTGGTTGGAAATTCATCAGTTTCAGAAAGATTCAGTCGAGATATTATATCAGCAGAGGTTTGAATTTGAGCAAAGGAGTTCTATTTAATTCAAAAGAAAATCAACTCAAATCAAATTGAGTTGTAAAGACCATAAGAAACTTCGAACCAAAATAAAATCTATTAAATAAAGGAATCAAAATATTGTTGTTTGATTTGATGATATTGAAATAAAGGTCAGAAACAATAAACTTACAGAATTATGGGCAAATTTTACAGTAACACAACCTCAGGTAGAGAAATCTGATCTTGAAGTTATAGAGACGAATTTGAAGTTGCGAATAACAAAAGTTCTTGTTTTTGGTTTGGATAAATCAAAATAAACGTTGTAAACATACAATCAATTTTTGGATATAAATCAATAAAATTGATTCCATCAGTTAATTAACTTTTGGTCTGTTTTAATTGCTTTAGAAATAATAATCATTCAGTCACTGCCATCTGTCAAAAATACTGTATAAAAATCATCACACTAATACATGACGGTGTCAGTAAGAAATCTAATTTTATATAACAGAAAAAGTTGCTACAAATGACAAAGATTAATATGCTATAGAAAGGGAAGAGCTGTTGAAAAACAAAGAAAACGGTCATAGTCAATTGTATATATCATTTTGAATTATAAAACATTAAACATAACAATTTTTTATCTATTTAATAAAAAAAAGTTACCCAAAATTTGTAAAGTATCTCACAAAACATCTTCCAAAGAAATTCATGAAGCTGTCATAAGATGCATGTGTCACTGTAGCACAAGCTGTTGCAAGCGATGATAAAATATGATCAGGATATACTTGATGCGTATTGAAAACTGTATATTTACAGTTCGCAACTTTCAAGATTTCTTTCCAGATTTCTTCTCCGTATTCCAGCTAAAATAACTCTGTTAATAAATTATACAAAATATTGCATTAATTTTGGAATTATCTTATATCAATGAAAGCTAAACTGTTATAGAGGGTGTTTTGGTCTAGGATTTGATCCTTTGATTCGACTATTAAAGGCTACAATAGATAAGTTTTGTGCTTTCGTTCTAAAAAATGTACATTTCCGAAACTTTTTAGCTCGGAAAGTGCATCGTTGCTGACACAGATCGAAAGGAGGTGAAAGATCGGTAAAGTGGCATAAAAGTTTAGTAAAGTAGCTTTCCCGAGCTCTTACATCAAAAACTTACTTTAAGAACAGTAGATACGTCTTTCAGCAAAACTTTTTGAAGTTTTCACGCTTATATGTTTTAACAAGTCTCCATAAACAAGAGAACTATTATTCTCTCCTGTACGAAAGTCTCTCTAAGTCGTTTAAAGATGAATGAATATGGATGAAGGAAAATTTTCAGTGACTGCATTAAAAATGAAAATTTAGTTCTTGATAACAGCAATGGGCTTGGGCAGCGCATGATGAATTAATAAAATGAACGTAGATTATGTGCAAACTTACAATAAATTGTCCTAATTTAAAAATGTATACACAGAGAACATTTGTAGTTTTCGACAAATTTAATTTAGAATTATATAGAAAATATTTAGTCCTATGTACAAAAAACACACATCGCAGATTATTCTAATTATTTAAAAATCTATTGGAATGCGTTCAATAGGAAATGTTCTTTCTAAAATATCTAACATATCTAAAACTATATTACTCAACCAAATTTACCGGTTACAAGTTACAGGTTTACCTTACAGTTCAACAAAATTTACCGATTACAGTTTCCACAGAATTTCAGCCACGTTGTTGAAAAGTGAAGGTGGAAATATCACAATTTTGAAGGATCACGGGGGATGGAAAACTACCGTGGCGGAAAGTTATATTCAAATTGAAGTAAATACATACACTGAGCTCGTAAAGTTTGGAATAAATTCGATAAATCGTTATTGAAGGGTTTTGACAGGAAATCCTCGGACACGTCAACTTTAGTTTGTAAAATGTCACTTTTTTCAGCCATCGACTTTTTTTTTGTTTTGTTTGTTTTTGAGCTATGACGTCATCGGCAATTTTTTTAAATGGCAACCCATATTTTTTTCCACGGATTTCGATAGAGCACATTTTTCTGAGTATGAATATGTCAAAAACGTATGACCTTCAAGATGGAAGTTTTCGAGATAATAGACAGTTTAAGTTGATTGTAGATGATCATGATATTAATTTGAGCATGCGCAACGGTCAAATTCTACGTATACGTTATGTCCGATACATAACTTAAACTGTCTATTAGGTTCCAAAGTTTCAAGGATGTACCATATACAAGGTATCGAGTGGGTCAAGTTTTTTAATAGCTTATCGAACATTTTGAGAGATTTTAGGAGCAATTTGTTTAATTTTTTAAGTAATAATCAACAACAATTTTAACAAATAAAAAAAGGTTTCTGTGCAAATGATAAATAATTAAAGTAAACAAGAAAATCAGAGGAAATTTTCAAAGTGACCTCCATTCACTTCTTGGCAATATCCCATTCGCCACTGAAACTCCTGCAGAACCTTATGAAGAATATCTGGTTGAATGGCTCGAATTTCATTGCGAATTCTGTCCTTTAATTCTTCAATGGTATTTGGTCTATTGAAGTAGACTTTGCTCTTTAAATAGCCCCATAAAAAGTAGTCTAGGGGAGTGAGATCCGGAGATCTAGGGGGCCATTCGATAGTTCCTCTTCGACCAATCCAACGGTTAGCAAATATTTGGTTTAAATAGTTGCGAACGATCACTGCAAAATGAGGAGGTGCACCGTCTTGTTGGTACCATATCGTGTTATTGGGCAGATCGGGATCTACGTCATTTGGGTAAAGCACCGCAAGTGCAGGGACTAAAACGTCTCTTAAAAATTCAAAATATTTTTCACCTGTTAATGCGCCTTCAATGAAAAATGGACCCAAAATGCGGTTAGCAACAAGGCCAGCCCAAACGTTAACTTTTTGTGGAAACTGACTACGAGTTTCCATTTTCCAGTGTGGATTTTCAGGAGACCAATATCTACAGTTTTGCCGGTTTACTGTGCCGTCGAGATAAAAGGTAGCCTCATCAGAAAAAATAATATTGCGTAAGAATCCGTCGTCATCAATCAGGCGTTGCAACATGGTTTCACAAAACTGTAACCTACGGTCAGGATCATCTTCGTTTAATTGTTGGACCAAAACCACTTTATACGGATGCCATTTGTACAATTTCAAATATTTTAAGACGGAGCTTTGAACTATTCCGTTGTTTGCCGCCACTTGGCGGGTGGGTAAATGGGGATTTTCTTGAAGCTCTAGTAGAACATTCAATTTAACATCTTCTTGTACTGGTGGACGACCCGTTCTAGGGCGATCTCTCGCATGACCCATTTCTAAAAACTTTTGCTCTATTTTACTAACCGTGGACTGTGTAATTGGTTCTCTGTTTGGATATTTGTTATTAAATAAACGGCAAACTTCTACTTGTGTGCGAGCTCTGTCCCCGTAACCGATCATCATCAAAATTTCGATTCTTTCCCTTTCACTCAAACGACGAACCATTTTCAAATAAAATGAATTCTGATAGAAT